TAAAATGTATGACTCTGTAAAAAAGATAATATGTATGGACACGTGAACTGTAAATGATCAAGTTGCTGATGAAGTCCCCAGTAAGGGACGAAACGTACAACTAGTTCAAATTAATTGTTCATAAGATTTAATAACCGTCTATAACTCCCTTTGAGACTTATATATTAATAACATATTTGTTGACAAGAATATTGATAATTAAGTTAAATTTAATATACATAAATGAATAATTATTATATTTCGTTTGAGAGAAATTTGTTGTAGAATTTAACAAGTTAACAATTTTTCTTGAGGGTTTCGAAATTTAGAAAAAAGATAGGAGATGGTTTAGAAATTGATTTGAATGTTTAGGCGGAGAAAAATAAATCTCACAGCGGTTCGCCAGTAAGAGACAAGATCAGCGGTGAACATGGGGATGATGGTGAAACCGGTGGGGAAGAGGACGAGGGTGGTGTTACCGATATGGAACAAGATCCTAATGAAACAATAGAGGATTACGAAGCTGCTTTGGATACGGAAACGTAAGCCACCCTTATTATACATTGCATATTACTACTAGTTAGATAGTTTGCCATCTTATTAGTGCACCATTCGCGACATCTTGTCGCGACCAAGACGTCATACTGGTGTCAATTTCGCGACTCGATTTACATACATACATATGTATGTATGTATGTATGTATACCTAACTCACCTTTAGCACGATCCTTCCTTGTAATTTCAATCACGCAATAACTATACATCATACTATACTCTATTCTACCAACTCCCCCCCCCCTCCCCCTTACCGAACGATTTTAGATCGGAGAAGAGCGAGGATGGGAACACCCATAAAGTACGTTTAAATATCGAATCGGATGAGGAAGCGGAAGAAGAAGAAGAAGAAGAAGAAGAAGCCGAACAAAATGAGATACACGGTAAATTAATCTTTTTCCTCTTTTTATAAATTGTGTCTATTTTTTGTTCTTTTCTTTTTATTTTTCGAAGTTATACTTCTTTTGGCGCGTTTTGGAAAAGTGAAGTTAGATATGCGATCGAAAAATCGACACCACGAAGTTGTCGATCTTTACGATGCGCGGGAAAATTGAAATTATTTTTGAGGTTATATTCGTTTTGGTACGATAAAAAAGTATAATTTCTTACGTGTGTACATAAATATACACATCAGTTTTTGAAGTTATACTTCTTTTGGCGCGTTTTGAAAAAGTGAAGTTAGATATGTGACCGAAAAATCGACACCACGAAGTTGTCGATCTTTACGATGCGCGGGAAAATTGAAATTATTTTTGAGGTTATATTCGTTTAGGTACGCTAAAGAAGTATAATTTCTTATGTGCTTATATAAGTACACACATCAGTTTTTTTTTGTTTCTCTCTCTATCAAATCGAGTAATCATTTATTCTTTCTTATCGGAATATTCAATTGTTTCATAATTTTTAAACACGTTTTAACGTATATTATGCTGTCTTCGTTGGCTACGCCAAAATAGTATTATGATGTTATAGTTCAAAAAAACAAAAAAAAGGAAGAAAATGATAATATATAATTAAATAGATACGGGGTATGTTCGATTTTTATTGTTAGACGAAGGACAAGAGGTATCGGCCAGGCCACGAAGAATGTCAGAGTACAATACCGCTACGAAAAAACAACCAATCCCGCCTGGTTCATCCTTCTTTCTTTTTTCACAGACCAACAGGTAAATTTAAAAAAGCAGCACGCTTTGTTTTTTCCTTTCATAATCAATCGAATTATTTTGATTAGCGTTTCACGTTACGCCGTAATGCGACACCTTTTGAATTTGCAGGTTTCGAGTTTTTTGTCATTGGCTTTGTAACCATAGCTACTTTGGTAATGTGATCTTAGCCTGCATCATGATATCCTCGGCCATGTTGGCTGCCGAGGATCCATTAAGTTCAACTTCGTACAGAAATAAGGTAGAAAAGCTTAACACCTGTGTAAAAATCGCTCCTTCCAAAAAAAGAAAAAAGAAAAGAAAAAAGAAAAGAAAAAAGAAAAGAAACGATTTATTTATTTTTTTGTTGGGAAGGGGCGTGGGCGGGAGCGGGGATCGGGGTGGGAAATCCGGGATGCGAATGGAAATCGTCGATAGATTCCTAGAAGAATTCTACGGAAATGTGTCATTCGTACGGTCTTTTCATATATTTCAGATCCTGAATTACTTCGATTATTTCTTTACTAGCGTTTTCACGATCGAGATCTGCCTGAAAATGATATCGTACGGGTTCGTTATTCACGACGGTGCATTCTGCAGATCGGCGTTCAACCTACTCGATCTTCTCGTCGTTTGCGTTTCTCTCGTTTCCATATTTTGGAGGTAAATAACAAAAAATAAAGAACATAGAATATTCGTTAATTATTGTTTCCATTAGTAAACTTATCCTTACTTTTTTGATATATCATTTTTCAGTTCTGGTGCAATATCGGTGGTCAAGATATTAAGGGTGTTACGGGTTTTGAGACCGTTGCGTGCCATCAATCGTGCAAAGGGATTAAAGGTAGGGCGATTTCTTTTAACAATTATATCTATATCAATAAGATTGTTAAATTAATCTTTCCAAAAAAAAAAAACGATTCAACAAATACTTTTGGGATAATTTGTTCAACCCGTTTACCTAACTCCGTGATTGTGTTTGTCTCTATGGTAAAGGCAAACACGTCGCGGAAATAAATAAATCAAATTTAATAGATTTTTTATATTCCATATATTATAAAAAATGTTTCAATGCAACCCACCGATACGCGCGTGGTATTATTATTATTATTCTTAAAAGAAGGATGATCTACGAATGACGAAGATCAAGGAATAGCGAGAACACATGCTATAGAATCGAATGAAACTCTGATCGAGGACGTCGAAAATTATCGAAACTGACATAAACAAGAAATCTCGAGGCTGTTGTGTCTCTGTCTCTGTCGTTTCCTTTTTTCAAAAGTCTCGCACGATAATATTTGCGTTTGTTTGTTTTTTTTTTTTATATATATAAATTATAAAAATGTATGTTCCTTATCGTTTCGAATACTGGATCGTTCACTCGCGAACAAAATATTTTCGTGCGATGTAATGAAAAAGGAGGGGACTAAATTAGGAAAAAAAAAAGAAAAAGAATAGAATAGAATCATATATATATATAGAATGTGTGCCGATCACGCTTAATATCTCTCGCGTGTAGGGACAAATTTATATTATGAATTAATGTTGAACCCAGCACGTAGTACAATGCGTCATCGTAGCTGTAAAGACTATCGGAAACATAGTCCTCGTCACCAGCCTCCTGCAGTTCGTGTTCGCCGTGATAGGCGTACAACTTTTCAAGGTAGGATTGCCAGGCCCCAAAATTGCTATCAAAATAAAAGGTCCTGTGAGACTTCTTTTTTTCCTTCTTACCTATTTCTTTCTATATTTCTTTCTATATTTCTTTCTTTCTTTCTTTCTTTCTTTTTTCTATTTCTATCAATCTGTTTCTATCTTTCTCTCCATTTACTTTCTATCTGTTTCTATTTGTAGTACACTAGAGTGGCATAATGTACCAAAAAACAACCTCTCAATGATTACAAATTCTGTATCATCATCGACACTTCCCTTCAAAATCATAAATCCGTCCGTTCGTTCGTTCGTTCGTTCGTTTTTTTCATTTTAAAGCACTCCAAATGCAATGGCAATTAAAAGAAGACAAAAAAAACAAAATGTAATATAATTCGTAAAGGATCAAACAAAATTCATTTCTCTCAGACCGATTGATTAATTTATTCTTCGATACGTCTTTTATGTTTTAATTTCGTAATCTCTCCTTGAAATAATTTAGATATTCGGTATAATTATCTAAAGATATTTGGGATATCGATAGATGACGAAGATAAATGATTGGGAGAGCTTGCGAATAAACGATGCTCGTCTTTGTTTTTTTTTTGTGCACCTTTGGATATATATAATAATTATTATATGCGAAACGAGAGGGATGTTTGCGTATAACTTAATAATTGAGTTTCTTGTCACGGCACTCTACCCGAACACCCCTAATCGCGACCATGTTTGTTTTTGTGTAATTCCTCGGATCGTTGTCGGAAAAGTTTGTTCATCCATCCTGTGAATTAGTTGCTTTTACGATAAATCATTTATACACTTTACCACCGTCTCGATATATATTATCCGATAAATATCATTTTCAATCGACAACGATAAATAATTATTATTCATCGATTAATCCTATATCATTTATAATATATAATTGAATTTCTAATGAAATATTATTATTCATTGATTTATGTAAAAGCATCTTCTTAACAATCGACAGTATGTATTAACAATCTTGTATACGTGTTACGTTGATATACAAAACAATCGTGAATGAACTATTTCAACCCTTATATTTCTCCCTCGAGTATAAAACTTACAATTAGTTTGTTTGTTTAATCATTGTTCTCGATGTCAATATAAACAATAATTATTTAATGACGTTAGAATAACACAATGGCTATTGACGAGTGTTGGATAACCCCATACGATTTAATAACAATATTATTTTTTCAAGTGAATTCACTTTTGAAATCCTTTGTAATAACTTTGTTTAATGTCGCATCGTCAAAGTATATCGTGAAATACGATTAAACGAATTAAAATGAAATTAAAAATTCAGTTTATTTCGCGAGAAGTTGCGAATTTGAGCGTCGGGAGAATCCATTAAGCCTTTCGTTTTCCTTTTTCATTTTTTTTCCCTCCCCCTCCCGAATTCGAGCTTTTTTATATTTGCTTTCCTTTTGATTTAACTTTGTTCTTTATTTTTCTTTTTCCATCTACTTTTACACGTTCTAATATTATAATATATTCGCAATTTACATATATATATATATATATATATATATATCACATACACGCGTCTTCTTTTATTCTGATTTCTTTTCAATTATTCATATTATGGGATCGAGAGCACATTCATGGTTAATTACTACTACTACAATACTTATCACATATTACACTTTGTCGTTAGAAATTTGTTTAAATCTGGGCACGATTAAAACGCAAAGAAAAATAATAATTATCATCGATCAATACTATAAACTTTTATCTCAAATCACATATAATTCATAATTTTGTTTTCCTAAACTTATAGACATGCCGTAAAACTGTCAATTACTGATCTCTTATAAAAACTAATCCCACAATTCAGTAAAAATTAAATGATTCGATATTATGAATCGTACTGTTGTTGTGTGTGTGTGTTAAAATACAATTATAGATAATATGGGATTGGAAATTTGTGATGAGATGTGTAGTAGACAGTGGTAAAAGGAAAAAAGAAATAAAAAAAAATAGATTTCCCGCAGGCTTTTCCATTTACAAAAAGGACTATTTTTGATAGTTAGAAAGAGATTTGTTTGAAATATTGCATGCTTGTAACGGCTGAGCGTTGCAGTGGTGTGGCCGCTATAATATTAACACGAGAAAAAGAATAAATAACAATAACAACAACAACAACAAAATAGAGTGTGAGGAAGAACGAAAGGAAAGGGAAAGGGAAGAAGGGAAGAAAGGAAGAAAAATGAGAAGAGCAAACAGGAAGATGGAGGTAGAAAAGCAACAGAAAAAAAAACGAGTACAGCTTCGTATTATTTTTACGGATTACTTTTTCAAAAGAAAAATGGATGATTCCAACGGAACAAAAATAAAAAGCCACCAGGAAACGAATAGAACACCACCTACCACCCACCACCATCAAAATGTTTCTTGCATTCCTTTTTGCAAGTGTATCGCGTTGTTGTTGTTGTTGTTGTTGTTGTTGTCACATCGTCATCGTCGTCGTCGTCGTGTGTTTGCCATGAAAGAATTATTAATACGATAAAGATAATTCCTATCAAAGTTTTCTCTAGCTTCGGTTATTTTCCTAGCCGATAATAGATATCGATCCCTGTACCCATCGAAAGGGAAGAAGATACTCCTTTGGTTTTCTCTCGAAATATAATCGGAATTAACCGTTGCTTTTTATTCAAGTTTATTACATCACAAATGAATATTTCAATGATTCGACCTAATTCTTTCGATAATAATAAAAGAGCAAAAGAATTTTTCTAAAAGTAAATGACAACATTGTCTCTCAACTATATAGAATGGCAATAGAAAAAATGATCTAGGAATTTTTATCCTAATGAATTTCAACGATATTATATTTTTATTATTTAATTGTTAACCTCGAAATCGATGGTGGTTCGTTATGGGGGGAAATAGAAAAAACGATTATACTTAATTCATAACGTTTAGCATAAATATTCTGCACGGATTAAACAACACAACATTTTAACTTTCGATTAGTGGCCTAAAAACGTTAACGCATAGTATATATATATATATATATATACTACAAAATGATATTTCAAAGATCTAGTAGCAATAATAGTTTAGTCGATGTTCATAGACAAAACTGTGTTTATTAGTAATTTATTCTAATTAATCTTTAAATGAAATATTATCGAAGCATTTATTTCACAAACACTATATAATATATTATATCTGGTAGTTTCATGTGTGTCGATCGCTTACCACTATACGCTCCTCTCTCTCTTTCTCTCTCTATCTTTATCTTTATCTTTTTTCTCTTTTTCTATGTCTCTCTCTCTATCTATCTCTCTATCTCTCTTTCTCTTTCTCTGTCACACATCTAACAACAAATATATGCGGCCAAACGAGCAAATAGTCTTTTTTACGTACACACACATACATACAAACATACACATGCACAAACACATACAATGACAAAAGAAATAATGGAACGTTTTTATAAAACATTCGCATTTTAATTAGATTTCTAGTTAAATTGCGAGTGCCTGTCTAGTGTTCGAAGGAATGCGAAAGAGTATAAAAGTGTTTCCGGAATTTTTTCGAATGAAATAATAGGGAAGCGAGACGAACGAGCCAATGACACGCTCTCTTTATTTAAGATTTCGAAAAGACGCAATTTCTTTAGATTACTTTTTTTTCTTCAAGAATCGTTAAACGATCCGCGACGATTATTCGATCCCTCCCCCTCCTCCTCCTCCTCCTCCTTCTCACCCCTGTACCTCAACTCCGTTTCTTTTATTTTACTTTTGATTTCACTATCTCTTTCTCTCTCTCTCTCTTTCTCTTTCTTTCTATCTATCTATCTATCTGTCTCTCTTTTCTCACAATTAAATTCGCGCGAACGCGATACGGAATAGGAAAAAAAAGAATTAAAATTAATAATATAATAGTAGCCCTAGTGAATTGTGTAGATTATTTTAAATAAATAGAAAAAAGGACGGCGACTATGAAGACATCTATAAAAAATAATAATAATCATCTTCCCCCCACCCCCTCCTAGCCCACCTCATAGGGGTGGATTTTGCCGAGGAAATATAAAAATATCGTGATAATTAATTAATAATAAATAGAGTGTGTTGGATGTGGATGGCGAGGGCTTAGTTAACGATTGCAAAAATAAAAAATATATTTCATACGCATATTACGTATATATATATATATATATATATATATATATGTTTAATATGTAAGCATATTATATATGCGTTATCAACAATTGCAAAGTCAGGCTGCCGATGAAAGTTAGGTGGTGATGGGGATGGGAATAGGGATGGAAATAAAAGAGAAGAGAAATGGGGGGTGGGGGGGAAAAGAGAAATTAAAACGAATCCATGGGTTCGTAATAACGCGAGCGAATGATTTATCCGTTTTAACCCTTTCAATGGTGAATACTTTGTGAACTATAAAGTTCATATATTTTTATATGTATTATTTTCATCGAGATGATGACGACGAGATACAAGAAAAATATTATAATACATTATTTTTTTTACATTCACATTGATAAACAACACGCGGTATTAATTGTAACATTCAAAGGGTTCAAAGGAGAATTGAGAGTAAATTTGTTGGATTTTAAAAGACCGATTTGATAGAAATCAGTCAATCGTCTTTACTATTTTTTTCTTGTGACTTTTTTAAACAAAAAAAAAGAAAAAAGAAAAACACCCCTTTTCTCTAAACGACGTGTTTCACCGAAATCATCCCTTTTTTTGTTACTAGTCCAACATCCCCCACCGACGTATAAATACTTTTACTTTTACTTTTACTTTACGCGTTTCTGTTTCTACCTAAAAAAAAAAAAAAAACAAACCTCATCGTTAATCCTATTCAACCAATGCTTATTATCGGTAACCAAATCCCTTTCATTTATCCATTCCTATTAGCGATAAAATAGGCCACGAGAGACAAACGAGAGATCGATCAATCGAGAGTTTATAGGATATAATAACGCAAACGAGATCACTGTGTTGTTTACGATAAAAAAAAAGATAAAAAAACAACTCCAAATGAAAAGATATGAATAAAGAAAGGAAGAAGATAACATTCCTTTGCACCCCCCCCTATCTATCTATGGGTTATGTTTTTCTCTAACGTTACCCCTCTTTACCTTATTTAATATTAATAATAATAATAATAATAATAATAATAATAGTAGTAATAGTAGTAGTGGAAGAGAAAATAAAAATAAGACACGCAGCCAACCTGAGCAGCAACAACCCCCCACCTACCCCTAAAAGAATGAAAATAGCTGGGCCCCTAATTAATGCTATTGTTTTTTTTTGTTTTCTCTGTCTCTCTTACTCTGACCATCCCGTGTTCCCGCTGTGCTCGTACGCCCTGCTCACCTGCCCCGAACTACGTAAAAAGTACGTAGTGAAGTGTGTGATTGTCGCCATTAAAACGATTGGCAACATTATGTTGGTCACCTATCTCCTACAGTTCATGTTCGCTGTTATCGGGGTACAGCTGTTTAAGGTAACGCCAACAACACCATCACATTAGAGGCTATGATTATAAAGCAGAAACGATCTATTTATTTTCATTTTATTCTTCCTTTTCCCTTTTCTTACTATTCTTTCTTTCTCTCTCTATCTCTCTCTCTCTTCCCTATCTATTATTTCTTTGTCTATTTTCATCAGCGATAGGCACAAGACTCTCTCTCTCTCTCTCTCTCTTATTTTCTTCCTCTATCTGTCTCTCTCTTTCTTTCTTTCTTTCTTTCTTTATTTCTTTCTTTCTTTCTCTCTCTCTCTCTCTTATTTAAAACTCGCTTTACAAGCCGTTTCCCGTTTTTAATCGGAAATTCGAGTTTCTTTCGCGAAATACGCGGTGGCCTTAAAAAAGAAAATCGACGCATGATCCGCTGATATCGGGTTGAATTTGTTTAAATAATTATTGAAAATTACAGATGTGTAATTTAGAATTTAAGAAGAAGAAAAAAAATGGGATTCATGATGCATTTGAAAAAGAAATTGTTTAATTATTTAGGGCACCACGTGTTTCGATGAATGTGTTGTCTATCTATGCGTGCATGCATGCATAGTAATTTATTTGATATTTGTATTTTCTATATTCGACTAACACTCTAAAGAGAAAAAAAAAGAAAAATAATAAATAAGAAGACGCGCTGGCAACGAGAATATTATATTCGCGAGAGATTTTATTAATTGATATCTAATTGAATTGAATTTATTTTACTTTTACATCTCGTGAGAGAGATCCTTATCAACACTTATGACACTTAAATTTCTAGAATAACAATGATTGATGATTTATCCTAAACGCGCGTTGTCCCTCCTCGTTGCTGTCGATACTTCTCCATGTTCATATTACACACCCATTATTATTATTATTATCGGAGCATATCGGAAATACGAAATAATTATATTAACGGAGTTTGCCGTCTGTACTAGTTTTTGAAAAAAGAAAAATTTTACACACTCTACCGAATAGATATTTTGATTAATTTTATTTAACTACACAAATTATAAATATAAATTTATACGCGTGTGTGTGTGTGTGTATAAATAATATCATTATTAATTCGCGCACTTATTCGATGATTGCATATTCATATTTGTCATATTTCGTTAACCGATATATTGTACACTTTTTGATGTAGCATGCCAAAAATGTTTAATTACGAATGTGGGAATGTCATTTTAATCGTAGTAGTAGTGCATGCTGGAACGTCCAGGTGTGCACGGAATTTGAACATTTGTCGAACGGATTTCACGGATAAACGAATAATATCTATTACTTCCTTTTTTTTTTCTTTTTAAATTCTTTGGATTAGTCGCAATTATCGTTAATCAACAATGATGGTATTCGTTTAACCGTGATTATCACTAAATAGAATAATTTAACACACATACTGTATTTGAACATAATTATTATATAAATATTAGCATGTAAGTAATAATTAATGGTTAATTAATAAATAGAGAGAAATAAGTTGACGTAATAGAAACGAAGTATATGATATTTCTAAAAAAATAAAATAATAATTCTTACACACGATTATATGATTTTCGGGTAAAGTATACATGCATATATATATGTGATAGGAATTAATTAACGAGTATCTATAAAAATCGTATCGTAATAATTATAAAGGGAAAACGATTATTACGTAATTCTTTTTCGTATCAAATTAACAATTGGATAATAATAATAATAATAATAGGAACAAATTGTTTACCAAGTAGAGGTGATAATAAAATAAAAAGGAAAAATTCTATCTCCTTACCGCGTTAAATAATAATAACAATATAATAATAATAATAATAACAATATTCCTTTAGCGTTTATATCGGAAAGAAAATGATGTAGGAAATATTAAAAAAAAAAAATAAAAGAAAAAAAAAGGGACGACGAGAAAGACGAAAAAATGATTATTATTGTTGCATTTGTGCGAGAACATTTTAAGAAAATGAAATCGGTCGGAGAGATGAGAAGAAGAGGTCATCGAAAAGTCGGTCATGGCGTTACTTCCGAATTAATCCAATTGTTCTTTTTTTTTTTCCACCCTATCGAGGATCCAATGATCATTTCATATGATTAACCAGCAACAATAGGAAGAGAGAGATAAGAATATATTGTAAAGAATGATTTACTTATTCAAATGAAGGATAATAAGAGGACACGACGATGCTGTTGCTGGTGTATTTTTTTTTTTTTTTTCTGTGCACAAGCGACGACCCGTTAACGCATCTGCTTTATTTTTTTCTTTTTTTTTTTTATTTCACTTGCAAGCAAGCAATTACGGATTAGAAGACAAAATGGAATCGCCAACGAAAAAGCTGGTGCTGCTGCTGGTTGCTGTTGCTATTTAATACCGTTCTTTCGATTTGTACCTTTGTACCAATTGTAAAGAGCTTTCTTCTTTGCTTGGCTAGCAATTAGTAAGCTCAGCTTGGCGCAACCGTGGTTCGCGTATTCTCAATGCTTTTTTCTTTTATTTTATTTTACTTTTTCTTTTTTTCTTTTCTTTTCTTTTTCTTTCTACGCCCGCCGTTCAACCTGCAACGAATCCAATGTCGGCGCGTACATACTTGACTCTTTTTGAAAAAGAAGAAGAAAAAAAAAAAAAGGAAGAAAGAAAAGGACATTTGAAAAATATATCCTCCCGCCCCCACCCCCGCCGCACCTCTACCCCCTTAGCATTAAAATTACGTAGCAATCGGAGCGCGAATTTCGCTTATACGACGAGAGGGATTAGTATTTATTAGTCGCGAACACATGCATATATATATATATATATATATATATTCTTCTCTCACATATTTCCTTATTAATTATCTTTCATTCTAATTAACCGGAGGCATAGATCTAATTCTAATTTTACCTAAACTCGTTGTTAATCCATTTGCGAGCGTCAATTATTATCTCGTAAATATAGATCACGCTCGTTAATTGATATAATCTATGTTTGAAATAAAGCGGATAATGAGGGTGGATCGTGTATTTATCGAATATTTTTTTAATAGATAAGAAGGGTGGCATCATACTCGCGTGATCCCTCGTTTAATGTTAACGCCTTAACATTTGAACGTATATGTACACGTTAATCTTATCGATAACGATCGACATATTCGTGTGTCATCGTCAACATACGAACTTTATAATCAAACCGAACGTAACCAACAGTCCTCAACCACCCCAGCCCCGCCCCGCCGACTCTAAAGATATTTACGTTTAACCCTTTGGGTACATTTGACGTCTGAGAGTGAATTATCATTCATTTGTTTTCCATTCACCATTTTGTTTTGGCAGCGATTATTACTTGAAGAAATCTTATTAATATTACACACACATATGTCTCATCAATATTTTATAAATAAATAAATTCTTACGTAAAATGTATTGCTTTTACATACTATACTCGAAACAATTAAAAATTATATCCGTTTCACGTGCAAATATTTTCTCAAACAAATCCGTACCCAAAGGGTTAATTTTACAATCCTTCAAAACCATTCGACGTATCTTCGTTTTTACACGTTGATGCGAATTGCAGCAAGCTGATATTATGCAAGGATATAATATATCGATATTATTTCTCATCGTATGATTTATTTAACATGATAGGAATCGATCTAGCATCGTATAATCATTTGTACATAATAATTACATATCACACCCACGTATATTTGCACGTCCAAAGGAATGTACTCATTCTCTATCTTTTTTTCTAACTTCCCAACCTCTATATCTCTGTCTATCTATTTTTCTCTTTCTATCTATCTATCAATCTATCTATCTATCAATCAATCTATCTATCTTACTATCAATCTGTCCGTCTATCTATCTATCTATCTATCTATCTATCCTATCATGCCCGAGTTTCACTGATCTAACACTTTTACTTTACTCGATCACACTCGCTAAAGTTTTATTATTATTTGCTATTGCAAGAATGGCCAATTAATATAGTGTGCTCAACTATGCGATAAATTTTCGATAATCTGGAAAGTCGGTCAACCTTAAGGACTGTCGCAGTGCCATGCACTGTGTGTGTGTGTTATAATGAGAGAAAGAGATCTCAATATTTATTTTTTTCATTAATAACACGGCCAATGAGCGCGAGAGTATCATCAAAGATCATTAAAAATCGTTTCCTTTGATTTATTATATTATTTTGATAATTTACACGTAATAAGAAAAGCCTTGATATACAAAATTGTCATCTCTCTCTCTCTCTCTCTCTCTCTAGTTCTTGAAAGATGACGCATCGTTGCTCGCAACTTTAAACATCGAACCACTTTAAGTCCCTTGGAAACTAAGTTTCTTGACCTGCTTTCTAAATTATTGATACGCTTCGTGGCTTTTAAAAAGAATTATATTATATTATATGAAATTATATATATATATATGAATTTTTTTAACGTTGTGAAAATACTTTATTCTTATACGCCTAACGATATTTTTATGTTATTTAGGGCAAATTTTTCTATTGTAACGATGCTTCAAAAATGACGAAGGAAGAATGCCAGTAAGTTATCGACAATCAATTTATCTTTCCCCTTTTTCTTTCTTTCATTTTTTTTTTTTTTCTTTTCTTTTTTGTCCACCCTTATCAATAGAATCTAAGAGACACGAGAAGATACCCGCGCGCGAGAGAGAAGGGCTCGTGTTTTTTATATGAAAAAAAAAAAAGGTTCAAGCAATTAAATCCAATTCGATTCGGAATAATATCGAAAAAGAAAAAGCGAATTTTCGCACAGGTTTTGGAATTGTCGGTAGAATTTTTTTTTCTACGAATTCGACTACGCGCGTGTTTTCTATCGTGTCTTTTTGAAACAAAAAAAAAGAATCACCAATTAATAATAATATTTGAAGGTAATACAATGTCGAAAGGGTAATATCGTTCGAGACATCATTACTTTCAGGGGTACTTATCTGGAATACGAAAATGGCAATATCAATAGACCTGTCGTGAAAGAAAGAGAATGGGAACATCGTCGTTTCCACTTTGATGATGTTGCCAAGGCGATGCTGACCCTCTTTACGGTTTCAACATTCGAAGGCTGGCCAGGGTAAGTCTTTTTTGACTTTGGCACGAATGTCTTGAAGAACAAGAAGAACAAGAAGAAGAACAAGAACAAAAAGAAGAAGAAGAAGCTTTTACGTAACGGATGCTTTAATAAGATATTAAAACACCGGAAGGAAGGCTTCACCTTTCCCCTCGCTTAAAACCAACCCCCAACCACCCCCACCCACCCCACTTTCTCTTCTTATTTCTTCTTATTATCTACGCTAGGTTGTTGAATTGGTCGATCGATTCAAACAAGGAAGATCACGGACCGATTCATAATTTTCGGCCGATCGTTGCAGCCTACTACATTATCTACATCATCATCATTGCATTTTTCATGGTTAATATCTTCGTGGGTTTCGTCATTGTCACCTTTCAAAACGAGGGTGAACAGGAATATAAAAATTGCGAGCTAGATAAAAATCAGGTAATTATTATTCTTGTTATATTGAATATATTTATTAGTTTTGTTTTTAAATTCTATTAATTAACGAGAAATTAAAGAACAACGTCTTTTGAAATAAAGCAACGTAATCGAAAAATGTCATCGGTGACTTAACACAATTTTATTGATCGTTTAGCGGAATTGCATCGAGTTCGCGTTAAAAGCGAAACCAGTTCGACGATATATACCAAAGCATCGAATACAATACAAAGTTTGGTGGTTCGTCACTTCTCAACCATTCGAATATACGATATTCACCCTGATCATGATAAACACCGTAACGCTAGCGATGAAGTTCTATCAGCAACCGACGTTATACACAGAAGTTCTCGATGTACTCAATATGATTTTCACCGCAGTGTTCGCCCTAGAGTTTGTCTTCAAACTTGCAGCTTTTCGATTCAAGGTACTGTTTTATCGAATTAATAATAAATCTTTAATCTCACATCATTTTTTTCCAATGTTTCTTCTATCTCAGAATTACTTTGGCGATGCTTGGAACGTTTTTGATTTCATTATCGTTCTCGGAAGTTTCATCGACATCGTATACTCGGAAGTTAACGTAAGTGATTCATTCATTTATTATTTATTTAATGCACCATTACTTGCCAGCACAATTAATTTCAACGTGTAAGATATTCGTGATCAAATAAATAACTTATGTCGAATTCTCTACTTTTCAGCCTGGCTCAACTATCATTTCAATTAATTTCTTTCGACTATTTCGAGTGATGCGTCTCGTAAAATTACTGAGCAGAGGAGAGGGTATAAGAACGTTACTCTGGACCTTTATTAAATCCTTCCAAGCTTTACCTTACGTAGCCCTTCTCATCATTATGCTTTTTTTCATCTACGCTGTAATAGGCATGCAGGTTAGTAATAAACGTACGGTTTTTCCTTTTGACGATTAAAACAAAACTTTCATTTGGTTCGTTGTTTATATAAACGTTTATCACCGTTTGTTTCCATAGGTTTTTGGAAAGATTGCTATAAACGCTGAAACTTCGATATATCGTAATAATAATTTTCAGTCGTTTCCTCAAGCAGTCCTTGTTTTGTTCAGATCTGCTACAGGTAAGAACATTCTCGTATTATTATTATGCAACAACATTTTTCCGTCATGGTATTATATTTTTCTTTAGGTGAATCTTGGCAAGATATAATGATGGATTGTTCCGCACAACCAGGCAAAGTAATGTGCGATCCAAATAGCGACGAATACAATAATCCATCTGGTTGTGGATCGGATATAGCATTTCCTTACTTCATATCATTCTACGTTCTCTGTTCCTTTTTAGTATGTTTCTATTATTGCTATTTATTCTCTTTTATAGAAATCCCAAATTTGTGATTGTATATATAATCATTATTGTTTTACAGATCATCAATTTATTCGTTGCCGTTATTATGGATAATTTTGATTATTTGACGAGAGATTGGTCGATATTGGGGCCACATCATCTCGACGAGTTTATTCGTTTATGGTCCGAATATGATCCTGACGCTAAAGGCCGTATCAAACATTTAGACGTGGTGACTTTGTTAAGAAAAATCTCACCACCCTTGGGTTTCGGTAAACTTTGTCCCCACAGAGTCGCTTGCAAGGTTTGTCAATAATTATTCAAGTTTATTTGAACAATAAGTAATTAGATACGATAAAAATGATTTTTTTATATCGTTAATTCGATGATACATAATATATCGTTTTCTAGAGGCTGGTCTCGATGAACATGCCATTGAACAGTGACGGTACTGTTCTATTCAACGCGACCCTATTCGCTGTGGTAAGAACATCATTGAGAATTAAAACCGAAGGAAATATCGATGACGCGAATGCCGAGCTTAGAGCTGTCATCAAAAAAATTTGGAAGAGAACCAGTCCGAAACTTTTAGATCAAGTTGTACCACCGCCCGGAGGTACTTTTTTAATCATCCCTTCATATATATAAAAAAAACCAAACAAAAAAAAAGCGGCTCGATTAAATATAATAAATATATTCGCGAAATCTATTGAATACAAGTCCCGAAAATATTATTCAACTTTTTTTTCAGTCGACGACGAGGTAACGGTCGGCAAATTTTATGCAACTTTCCTCATCCAGGATTACTTTCGTAGATTTAAGAAACGCAAAGAACAAGAAATGAGAGAAGGAGACAAAGAATGTCATAATACGGTAACGCTACAGGTAATAAAAAAAAAACAGGTATTATAAATAAAAACAGGTATTATAGTAAATACTATATAAATACTATAATAAAAACTTGAATTAATTATGTTTTTTTATTTTTTTTTTTTTTCTTTTTTTTTTTTTTTTTTTTTTTTTTTTTTTTTTTTTTTTTTTTTTTTTTTTTTTTTTTTTTTTTTTTTTTTTCTTTTTTTTTTTTCTTTTCTTTTCTTTTCTTTTCTTTTTGTTTACAAGGCTGGCTTGAGAACTTTGCACGAAGCAGGTCCCGAATTGAAAAGAGCGATCTCTGGTAATTTGGAAGAACTTATGGATGACAATCCGGAACCTACACACAGGGTATAGGAATATTGCTTTTTCGCTAAAGGCAAAAAAAATGATAAATAAAAAGGAAATTTATTCGTAATTATCTTTTCAGAGAAATCATTCGTTGTTTGGTAGCGTTTGGTCGAGCATGCGCAAAGGACATCACAGCTTCCATAGAGCGAGATCGCTCAAAATGAACTCCAAGGTAATAATAAACATAAAATAAAAGAAATAAAAATACTTACATTTTTAGGCGTTATTTGCTATCAACAATATCCCAATAATGACGACCTTATTCATAGTTACTCTCTTGTTTGTTCCACAAAGACTTGATCACCGCCAAGAGAACAGCAATTCCTTTTTATACAATTCGCAGGTGAAAGGGTAAAAAACTTCCTATTGTATTTCTTTCCTTCGTAGGCTTCCCCATCGAATTCCATAGACTTTTTGGCGTATCCATCATTGCAAAGGGGTGTCGGACCAGACGCTCCGAATCAAATCACTGCGAGATCTCATCAAGTCGTGCCAAACGTAGCCGGGTAAGTTTCTTTATAGTTATCTTTAAACAAACTAAAATTTCGATAAATTCTTCTATAGTTTATTAATCCCTTTTGATTTTTTTTTTACTTATAGTGGTCTAAGCGATAGCGCAATGAATCAAATGGGAATGGATCCTAGATTAACGGGGGTCGAAGAAAATATTCCATTGAGACCTCTTGCCGTATTTGGCAACACCACGCAACGTTCAACCTATCATAGTTCTTACAAAATGGTCGGGTAAGTAAATAACCAGCGAAAATATTCTTTTCGCCGGATTTTCGCCAAATTCGCGTGTCCTGTTTCTTTGTTAGGCATCGTGTCGGTCATCGTCATCAGTGGTTTACGCATTTATTATTTTTCAAAACGATACATCTCTCTATCTATCTATCTATCTATCTATCTATCTATCTCTATCTTTCTATCTCTATCTTTCTCTCTCTCTCTCTCTTTCTCTCTCTTTCTCTCTCGCTATCTCTCGATATCGCGTCATGTAATAATTAGTGCATGAAAGATGTTCATACGACTTACTTACTACAATACGATTCGATTGATTTCGGTCCAAACTCGTTGATAAAAAAAAAACAATTAGCTAATTAGTTGTTCGTCCTGAATAAAATTAGTTTTTCAATTAGACCAATGTGATTGTACATAGTCGCGAAATTAGGATTTCGTTGAAACGCGTTGGCAAGATACGAGAAAGATGATTTTGTTTTTGTTATTTTTTAATGTCATAGCGCCTAAGAAATAGCTTCGTACGCATAATCAATCAATCAATCAATCAATCAATCTTCTCTATTTGCGTGCACGCGTTATCGTTTTCGCCTTTAGCAAGTTTCATAGCTCCGCGCGTCGACGAATACGTAATCATTGGTATTCTCATCGTCCTACGCTTTTCTGTTTACTGTCGTACGTTTCAGTGGACCGGGTAGCGGTAACTATCTTCATCCCAATAGCGAATATGGTAAGACAAGTTAGGGATCTGCGACTAGTAGCTGGCTTTTATTTGATTAAACTGCATTGCTCGCTTGCCGCGCCTGCATGCTTTCCGTTTTATCATTTATACATATATTATATATATATCTATATATATATATTTATTAACCTTAGTATCACAACCACACAAATTGTCTCCTGATCAACGAGAAAACGAGAAAAGATTTGTTATTAAATATTATAGAGTTCAAATGTAATATGAAATCAGGAGACAATCGGTGAAGAAAAATCAGCAAGGCCCAAGTTCTGCCGGTTAAGAAACGTTAAATTCGATCAAAAGAATCGAAAATTAACGGGGTGTTCCATTTCAACCATGCAGTAACTAGGCTAATGCAAATAATCGCATGCGGTTTGCGCTGTTCTCTTTCGATCCGATATATTTATTCAATATTACGTAAGCGTGCCTGACCGGATCGTCGCGTCTCCTAAAAGAGATGTTAGACGTGGTCGAGTACGCGCGTTATTTAATATAATAATCCTTGGCTCGTGAAGATTAGGGGACTGATTGGTAAACGTAACTAAAAGAATGGTTTTTCGCCCGTTTTCTCTTTCACCGGCCTGCGTGCGTGCGTGCGTGCGTGCATATGGCTTGCGTGCGTGTATCCTTGATGGACTGCTCGATGGCAGTCTTCAGGACGGAGTCGAGCGGCAGTTGACGCCACCCACCCCTCCGCCACGAAGGATACCTGGACAGAGTACTAGCGGCACCGTTACCAACACCATCAGCACCACTAGCAGCAGCACCACTGGCCCGATCCCACATCCTATCATCGGCACTGTCAACGAAACAGTCGTCGTCACAGCTGTCACGGGAACGAGTGCCAACTCCTCGACTACCGCGACCAGTCCAGCTTCCTCTTCGAATGGCACCAATCGTTACTATACCTACGCGACTGGGGGCTGCTGCGTCGATTGTGCCGTCTGGAGCAATCACGGTACGAGATCTTGTCGCTCATCGATTTAGAGATAATTAAATTAAACGATAGAAATACGAATTAGAAATGCGAGAAGACAACGAATTCGATCTCGTACCGGACACGAGCGTGGCCGTAGACGACGAGGAGGACGAAGAGGAGTTAGAGGAGTATGAGGAAGATGAGGACGAAGATGAGGAGGAGGAATTCGAGGACGAAGATGAGGAATCGTCGATCGCGAGCGGCAGTACCACCGATTCCGGCACGTGGAACGATTACGAGGGTGTTCCACGTCCGACTGATAAATTACCTTTACCATCGTCGGCAGCAGTGGGTAACGTTAAAGAGAGTGGGAGGGCGAGAACGAGGGCAAGGGCTAGGGCGAGGCCGACGCCAATCCCAATGTTGCGTCAGGGTGCTAAACCGACGATGGGAATCCGAAAATTTGAGAGTCTACTATCGCGGGCTACGGTGGCAGCACCATCGAGACAACCTAGTTTCCCGTTTGGGACGAGATCGCGACGGCAAAGCGACACCGGGGGAAAATCGGCACCCTCCAGTTTCCGCAGATGTCGCGAGGCCGTTTCCGAAGCGGCCGACGGGACCGCCAGCGACCCTCCAAGCGACCCCCCGACCGACCCTCCGACCGACCCTCCGACCGACCCTCCGACCGACCCGCCGACTGACCCCGGAGGAGCAACCATCGGAAGCCTCGCGAACGGCCTCAAAATGGCGCAGACCCAAGCGATCGCCGTGGCCAGTTTCCTCGCCAACGTCGATTCGCGTCAATGGCGAGTCTGCGAGTCCTGTTTCTCCCACCGAGCCTCCTTCCACGGCAGAGGTGACGCCAACCTTACACTGTCTTCCTACCTTTCGAACCTACCTTCGATTCGTCGCAGCCGCTCGAACCACGCGCGTACTTACTTAGTCATTTCTTTTTATTCTTTTATTTTTCTGTCTTTCTCTTTTTCTTTCTCTCTCTCTCTCTCTATTTCCCTTTGTGTACTTTGAACGTTTCGACTAACACCTTATTTCTTTCTTTCTTTTTATCTATCCTTTTTCTCTCTTTTTGACGCTTGAAATAACAAATTTGTCCGTTCATGTGGTGGTTTGTCGTTGGCGCGTGACTCGCGCGACGTGCAGCATCGAAGAAGTTCGAGATAATAGTCCCCGAAATCTATAGGTGTTAACCTTTTCATTGTTTTGCTCCATAAACCGTCATTAGTTCCATCCTGGGCTGGGGAGAGCAACGGAAGCGTCGGAGCAGAACGGCTTACCCATAGTTTACCTGGCAGTCCTGCCGACCGAAAGCCGAATTTTGAAGTTATCGGAAGCGCCGAGAGTTTGGTAGGACGGGTGAGTTATTTTTTATCCATTTGTTTGTTTCCTCGCTTTTTTTTTAAATTCGAAAAACAATTATCTACGTTGTGTTTTTGTTTTTTTCTGTTTGCGTACAGGTACTCGTTGAACAGGGATTGGGTAAATATTGCGACCCAGAATTCGTGAGGTACACGTCTCGCGAGATGCAAGAGGCTTTGGATATGACGCGGGAGGAGATGGATCGAGCGGCTCATCAGTTGCTCTTGGAGGAAAGACGTAGTCAATCCTTCAGATATCAGCAACAACAACAACAACAACAACAACAACAACAGCAGTTGCAGCTGCAACAACTGCAACAGCAGCAACAAGAACAACAACTACTACAGCCCGGCATGGACCAACAGTGGAACCCCGCGTATATGCAACCAATCGAAATAGGTTATCAACCTTTGCAAGAGCAACCACCGAGTGGTACGCAACGAACGTTCCATCATCAGCCGAGCTATCATCTTCAAGAACAACAACAACAACAACAACAACAACAGCAGCAGCAGCATCAGCCACCCTCTTAGCACAAGGAAGACGATTGTTTCGTTAAAAATATTCCGTCTACGTAGCCTCGAATTCGAACGGGTCCTCCTTTCGGACCAATCAAAGTCGCGAGCCGTTCGATTTTCTGTCGATCGGGGGAGACGGATAAAACACAAAATAGAGAAAGATAAACAGAAAGATATACTTTGCTCAGCGATCATCTCACCCTCGTACGAGACGCGACTCGTTGTGTACCACGCTACCCCCCAAAAAAAAGTCCTTTTTCTACTATCCAAATATTTGTATCGATCGATCGACGAGAGTCCACACTTTTCCTTCGGATTTCCAATTAGATTTTCGAAGATGCACAAAAATCACGGATCGCGAATTAGATATAGTTATCCAAACATTTATTTTCTTTTCTAATCGTTTTAAAAGCTAACGTGAGAATAAAACTATAACCGAATTTAACGAAAAATGCATAAGAATTATTTTCCGTGGAATTGATAATCGCTTCGAGACGTACAACGTGTTCTTTCCACCGTATATGTTGTTTTCGTCCACCATTTTTCTTTTTCTCGGTATTCGAAGACTCGAAATCAGTCAGCCGAGATCCGCGAAACCTCAACGGACTTCCGTCCGAGAACTGGAGGAAGAAGAGGAAGACAGATCTATTTCCTCTTCTCCTTTTTTCTCTTTCATTAATACGGTATAAATAGAGCTATATTATATACGCATATATTATTATTATTATTACTATTATTGTTACTACTATTATTATTACTATAATTTTTATCGTCATCGCCATCACACATTTATTGTCACTATTATATTATTATCTACCATTTAATATCGTTAACTATCGTTAATTATTCGTTATTATTGTTCGTCCTCATCGATAGAAGTTAAAAAGAAAAGTCACTTTTAAGAGAATATCGCTATTAGAGTACGGTTAAAAAAAAAAAAAAAAAAAAAAATCATTGTCGCTACTTGCACGATGGATTATTCTAGATGATATAACAAGTGCCTAAGTATCTAATAACTTCTTTCGGACCAGAGAAGACTTTTATCAACATAGACAAAGTACGACTATAATTGCGAAATTATGACGAGTTACGAGCCGTGTATGTACACTACGATATTGTAACGCGAAATAGATATTATTATTATTATTATTATTATTATTATTATTATTATTACTGTACATATATATGTTGCGCGCGTATTATTAAAAAGAATGCGCGATACGACGAATGGCCGATAAATAAAAAAAAGAGAAAAACAAAGAAAAGAAAAGAAAAATACAGTCCCGAAATAATTCGATTAAAAAATGTATGATTATTGTAATAAGGAGCGCGCGAGAGATTTTACACAAAAGAAAAAAGTATGAAACGTTCGTATTACGTATTCGAAAAAATGAAAATTTCGACCTAGAAAACACACGCTACACACACGCCACACACACGCCAATACACATACACTCTCGTACGCGTTCGAGCATACGAAAGAAAAGCCTTCTCTTATACATATACAGTAACTATCGTTTAAAATCGTACAACATTTTCATCAAATTTTGTTTGGAAATTATTAGTATTGTGTGTTTAAGAATAAAGACAATCTAGAAATAAATACATTAGTATATATTAATTGCATATTTAATGAGATTAACTTTGAAAACTTTATATATAACAAATGAATTAAATAAATACGAAAGTAATGTGTATAAAAAAAACAAAAAGTCGTAATTAAAAATTATACGTGTTGGGGTGTAACTATTGTTCTATAACGATAGATTTCGAGGTGTACGGTGCGCCGAAAATATACACATACATTTCCTACGATTAATTAACAATTATTATAATAATCTAATGTACTTTATATATATATATATATAAGATTTTTTTAACGTTCCTGCACAGTGATGACTTTGAAGGTAAAATTTTTGTCTAATAGAAAATCAAATCGAAATTATTTCACATTCAAAGTATATTAATAAGTATATAATAATGTTTAATAATTTGAAATATAAGAAGAGTGCATTAGTGCATTAAAATAATTATTAATTATTGAAGTATTTCTCTCTTGTTTTTACAGTTATACTAACACGTACGATTTTATGCAACGGCCGTTTTCTCGACATTATTTTCGTATTTGCTTAATTCCCTTGTTATAAAATAATGCTTTCAAGTTAAACTTATTAATTATGTAATAAATATATACTAATGTATTTATTTTTAGATTATTTTAATCTTAAGCAAGCTATACTAATAGTTTTCAAGAAAAAAATCTAATAAACGTAATGTAAACGATTTTAAATAACACTCGCTGTATATAGACTTTTAAATATAGTCTAAAATTCAACAAAAACGAAAGATAGAAGAAGAGAAGGAATAAAATAAAGAGGAAGAGTAGTTAAGAAAGAAGAAAATTAATGATGAAGAGACAAATATGGGCGTAAAAATGATAAAAAATATATCACAGATTTTTCAATGTAAATCATTCGACGAGAGAAACCAAAAAAAAAAAGAAAAACATTCGCTCCGATTTCCTCTGACGCACAAAGTTTAACTTAAATATCGAATAATCGCGATTTGATGTTCTATAGAGCCATTATTATTATTACTATTATTATTATTATTGGTATAAAACCGAGCAAACGCGCAAGAACACATTTCTTTTTCTTCTTCTTTTCTTCGATTTAGAAATAATATCCGATCGCGCGTATTTAATAATCAAATCACTTTTAAAGGGTCGTTTACTCGCGTCTGATCGCAGTTGCGCATCCAAGTAAACAAAACAAAAAAATACGTATTAATATTTAATTACGTACCCATTTAATTATTACCTCCTCCTATTAGCGAAAAGAAAATGAGAGGGAGAAGAAAATAAAAATAAAAATAAAAAAGGGAAGATAAAGCAAAAAAAGAAAAAGAAGAAAAAAAAAAAGGAAAAAGAAAACTAGTAAAAATAGGAATTCAGAGAAAGAGAAAAACGATGCAATGTCGTATTCGATAATTCGTTTAAAAACGCATCCAATCGACGTAATCGTGTTATTAGAGCAACAAGAATATCGTGGAACGCGCTAACATGCTCCATTTATTTTCATTGGCACGACCAATGGCGATGAATAATGTTAGATATATATATATATATATATTGTTGGATCGAACGCCTTCATGCCAAATATTTAAATAGGCATTCGTAGGAAGATTTATCGATGGGTGGTGGTCCTGCTGGATAAATCTTACAATAGAATCCTACAATATATATAAATGCAATGGAAAATATATGTGGATCGATTAATGGTGTACTTGAACGCGAAAACGACGTTTCTTGTGATCACCAATGAATAATCGCCATTGTTGTTAACTTCGAGATCGTTGTGTCAGTTTCCTAATCTCTCGAATGTGTTTCTTTTCGTACCTTATATTAACAACGAATAATCATCGTATATTACAAACAAAAAAGTATAAAAATTTTCATGAAATTGCGATTATAAATTGATTTCGTATTATTATTCACGTTGCATGTATTATTACATCTTCTAGATATATATATATATATATTAAGAGATGCGAACGAGAAGATAAAGAATAATGAAAGAGATATAGAAAGAAAAAGAGAGAGAGAGAGAGAGAGAGAGGCGGATGGAACAAAACAAATAATATTTATTCTAAATCTTTGCGATCGTTGGACCACTCAGAACTCGCTTTAAACAAAATTCTGGACAATATCCTTTGGTGAATGTCGAAGCGATTCAATCCTGTCTAGTGCCTTTCGTAATTCTCCTTATTAGGTTTTTGTTTTGTTTCCATTTAGCACAAGAGCTCGATGGTTCCCAATTTGTTCATTTTCTTTTCCTCCTATCCCCATCCCAGCCCACCTAATTTTTATTGTACCGAATTTACGACGATGTGTCCAGGAGAAAATAAAATGATGCTAAAAACGATCGAAAGACTAAGACGGGCATCGAAGTCTCCACGATTCTCTTGAACGTGTGTCAACCATTTTGGGATAACTTTCAACAGGACCGTTTCATACGAAATATTAAATAACAAGAGGAACGAAGTAATATTTAAACGAAGTACGAAACTTATGTTAGTCCTAGGATAATCGCGAGCCCACTGCTTTATAAAAAATACTTATTACATATACACATATACATACATACATATATATACACACACACACACATACTTACACTTGAATCTTTCGTATATCCGTTTTTGGACGTCTTTCTAATAATCTCGTACTCGTCTATAACCGTCTTTTTATACCTAAACTATCATGAAAAAAAATATGAACAAGTTTATACAGAAAATTAGATTAACGCGCGTTAACACACAAGTTTTCTCTTAATAACTTTCTAATAAATAAAAAATATAATTCGTAATCGTCGATGGTGTATGTGTGTGTGTGTGTGTGTTGTTTAGATAGCTAACAAGAAGAAGACTTTTTACTTCGCCGATAAAGAGAGAGACTGTGTTTTTAAATGTGATAAAACAATACGACGCTGAGAGGACTCTTCACCCTCCCAACATCCAACCACACCCACCCCCGCCCCAACCAATATTAAAAATAATAAGAGGAGAATGGGGCGATACGAATGTACGCGGAATCTAATTTTATTTTTATTTTCAAATTTATTGCTTATCATCTAAACGTTGTCGTTTAATTTCAATCAATGACAAATGACAGATAGAAAGTTTTTTAAACCGTAGCACAATTTTAAATGATCGCACAAAATAATTCCGAATTTGTCCGAGGAATAATACAAACGAAAACGCATCTCGTATAATTATCCAATATTATTTAGATATTTTTGATACGATTAAAAGTATAATAGAATAATCGGTCTTCTTCTCGTGATTTTGCTATTGTAGAAAAAGAAAGAAAGAAAGAAAGAAAGAAAGAAAATTAACGAAAAGAATCGCGTCGTTCCTCTAATTGTTCGTTTAAAAAAAAAAAAAAAAACAGAAAAAAAACAGAAAAATGCACGACGGATGATAAGAGAATCGTGGAGAACTTTAGATAAAAATGAAAGTTTCATCCCTATTATTATTATTATTATTATTATTATTATTATTATTATTATTATTAGAGGGGTAGAAAAATTCGTAAAAATTCGCCAAAAGTTGTCGGATATATTGTAATAATCGTTGTCGTCGTCGTCGTCGTATTATTTCACGATCGAAATCCTTTTGGGTCTATTATTTCATTTGAAACGCGCAATGAAAAAGAAGTTCGACCGTATCGAAATCATTTTTAAAAGCACAACTTTTACAAGATTATTGTTAATATAACTCTGAAGCACACGAGATATACTCGGAAGTACAGTCTACCGAACATTTTTGTGAAAAGATCGTAAAAAAATGGTGATTAATATAATCAATTAGCATCGAGATGCATACACACACACACACACACACACTTCTTCTATAACATTGTCCTTTAAACGTTATATCCTTATACCGTAAAGAGTATGTGTGTGGTGTGTGTGTGTGTGTGTATGTATTACGTATAAGGATATATGCACGCATCATACACACATGTATATGTAATAAAAATTGTGTAAAGTTGCAATCAAAGTTTTACTAGGGCGTTCATATAAATTACACCACCTCGATCGTTTCGAAATTATTTTTGAGAATATCGATAATTATGGAGGTCAGTCCCAAAAGTTCGTGTGTATTAGTAACATGTATATCGATTTTAATAACGTTCTTTAAAATTTTATGGAGTTAGAGCCACATTCAACAGTGAATCGGATGACAAAAAAGATGCGTTCATCTCATGGGACAGCTTGGAAAATGGCTACCACACGAATCTTTATAGAGTCAGCACATGGTCGTTCATTGTTCGGAAAGAATGCTATTGTGTGCTTCCCAGCTCAAATTTTCTCCCACATTTTCTCCCACATTCTCTTCCACTTTCCCTCATCCTCTCCGTCTTTTTGATATAAAAAGAAATATTTCTAACTATTTCACGCACAATTATCCAAATATTAACGAACGATGAATTATAAATGTGGGCAACTGATATGAAATCGAATTTTGTATTGAAAAATTTCAATTGTGTCTTAAAACAAAAGCAAGCTTGTTTTTTTATTTTCGAAACAACGTATGAACGCCCTTCCTAACGATCGTTACGATCATTTTTAACTGCCGATCGTCAAACCACGTTTTTTCAGTTCGAATCACATTGAAAAACCAAACGAAAATTAAAGGAATAAATAATTAATAAAGAAAAATAAAACGTAAACTCGTCGATCGGTGGTATAAACATATTTTCGTAAGAAATTATTGTTATATAGAAAATTAGCGTTATGTACTGAACTGAACGAAAAAAAACCAGACCACATTTCTCTGACTTATAATTAATATATAATTATTTAACTATCGTGTTGCTCGATAGAGAAAAACAAAGCGAATAATAATAATAATTAATTAGAGGAAAGATATTAAAGAAGAAGAAAAAGTTCCACAAAGTTTCATGAAGTTCCTGAACAAAGAAAAAAATGGCGTCAGCTTAATTCTATTCTTCGCGTTTATACGTTTTCGAACAAATCATTTTTTGTCATTACAAAAATGACTTCACTTTTACGAAAAAATAAGAAAAAGCGATAGTTAAAGAGAAGCGTTTACAAAATTGGAAATATTTTAAACAATTTACCTTGTTAATTAACTCTAACAGTATCGTTGATGGAGGGTAGTAGACGCTAGATACTTGGTAGTCGTTTGGTTGTCGTAGAGTTTGGATTGTTGGTAATCGTTTTACGAACAAAATTTCATTATTATATGAAAAACATTCTGATTGGTCGATCGGTATATTTTAAACTACCAACTGTATTTTCAGAAAAAACTACAAAAAAATGTAGAAAGTACAAAAAAAAAGGTATTCTACATAGTAGGGGAGGAAGATGTTCTTCTTGTTGATTGGACAGAAGCAACATTTTAGTTTGTTTTTTAACTATGTTGCGTACGTGTAATTTTGTCCAAATTGCACGAATATAATAATAATAATAATAATAATAATAATAATAGTAATAGTATTAATAATAATAATAATAATAATAATAATAATAATAATAATGGATGAGAGACGATAAAAATACGAAGAAACCGAGCGAGCAGCATCTTGCTGACTAGAGAAAAACTAACACAGAAATTGTTGTTGTTGATGTTGTTGTCAAAAATGTGTCAAATTAAAATATAAGGATTTCAAGCATCTTATGTTTGGATGATCGCAGATTAACCCTTTCCAATCGAAATTTAATGAACAGAAATTAGTAAAATGCGCTTTTTAAAATGTAGTTTTTATTTATAAAGTAATTACTTCTTTTTCTTTTTTTCTTTCTCATCTACGGTCCATCTAAGTATTTTGTATTTTACATTACTTACACGATATAAGAATCGAGTTAACGCAAAAAAAAAAAACCTATGTGTCAATGATTAATTTGGAGGCTCAAGATTCTCCATTAATTAATTTCTAATTATATATGCGATGCGTTTGATTAAAAGTAAACGGTGCAAGGAATTTTCTATATTCACAAAAACAGTATAAATTTGAACGAAATTAAAAAGACAATGAAAAACTACAACGATTTCTATGCTGCGCACACGTGTGTATGTAGGTCCAAGCAAGGCACCGTAATGTACATTGGCAGGAATTCAATAATATCTAATATTCATCCTCAACTGAAATTCCTACAATGGAAAGGTGGAAATGATATAGAAAATGGTCATAATTAAGAATGAATAAGTTACAAAGAAATTCATCTTAAGAAGAGTTAATATTATTTCATGACTTGTGCTGCTTTTTTCGCTTTGACGAGTTCCACGAGTTCCTATGGAAAGAAACAAGGAAAGAAAAATACAACAGATTGTTCATTAAACGTGGCTAAAGTTAATTCAAAGTAATAAATTAAAAAAGAAATATACCTTATACCTCCTCATACATTCTTTTTTCGTTCTAGTTGGTATGCATCCTGCTATTTGATCCCACCTATCGGGGACCGTTGTGGGATAAGTTTTTAATGCTTGCTCAAGAAGTTTCTGTTCCACAGGGGTCCAAGCTTGAGACTCCTTCTTGACATCTTTAGCGTCGCTAGATATTCCATTGGAAAGAGGATGATCCAAGCGTTCCGTTACAGCTGGCATTCTTTCTTCGATTCCTTCTTTGGTTTTTTTCTCTGCGATAAAATTATCATAAGCGTTTTTATTAGCTCTTTCCTTAAGGCTCGATTTGCTAAAATCGGTAGATTGTAAGTCTTTAGCTTTTGCCAAAACTTCTTTGGCGTCGCGCGTTATGCTGCTGGATGAGGTACTATGTTGATTAATAAAATTAGCTACTACTTCCCAACGTTGATTTGTACCAGCAGGAAATAAATTGACAGCCTTTATTAAAAGTTGCAAATCATTTTCGCTCCATGGAGCGGTATGAGCTTTAACCTGTTTCTCCGGTGTATTTCGTGTATCATTATTTATTATAGCAGCTCTACGTTCTGCTTCTATCTTTTGTTCTGTTTCTTTTACCACATGGAGGAATGCATTTCTACCGCCATTTTGTAGCTTCTTCATAACTTCTTCCAATTGAATTAATTTCAACAACTCACATATTTTTTCTACACTTTCCATGTGCTTAAGACTTTCGGCTGAACTTTCAGCAAAGTAATTATTAAATTTACACAAGTCGCGTAACGCTTTTCTTTCCTTCCTGAGTGCTTTCTTCTGTGCCTCCCTCTCTTGTTTCAATGCATCCATTTTTGCACGTTCCTCAGATTCGCGTTTTTCTTTTTCTAATCTTTCTCTTTCCGCAGCATCTCTAACTATTCTCTCTTCTTCCTGTTGTCGAGCTTTAGCAGCTTCTTGCTTTGCCTTCTTAGCAGCTGTTTTTTTATTTTTGTCATCCTGTTGAAATTTCTTTATTCTTGGGTCTATGTTATAAGCCATATCAACTAAAGAACGTATTCTTGCCATTTCTTCCTTCTTTCGTTTCGCTCTCGTTGATTTATTTTTTTTCTCGATCCACTTACGCATATCTCGACTGAAATATCATTTATTATATTATGCTTTATATACTCAAAGAAAAAAGATAAGAAACAAAAGTTTAATTTTTATTACTTACTCTTGTCCACTTTCTTTATCCTCTTCGTCGAGATACGAGTACTCCCGCCAAGAATCAAAGTCGTACCAGAAAGAATAAAATTTTTCAACTTTATCTCTAGGTGTGTTTGGTCCACCTAAAAGTGGTACTGGTTTTTTGATAGACCATCTAGCATTATCTTTGAATGCTTTTCCCATAATTTCATAAAAATTATTTTTACATTCCTTCTCGTCTGGCAGATCATCATTAAAATAAGGATCTATGCTGTCGTAACTTCTTCTTTTAACAGTTGTTCCAAGAGTCTCCCATGCACGAGTAATGCAAGTAAAGTAGTCATCGTCTGGTCTTATTTCCTCTCCCAATGCCTTGCGCTTATCCGGATGATGTTTCAATATCTTCTGCTTATCTGTAATTCACATATTAGATATGGATTTAGTATAAATCATTAACTATTATGCGTATTAGGTATCTGCAAACGACATAAGACCTACATTCATGTATAGAGTATACTTTGAACTGTCTTTACGTACAAGCCCTTTTAATAATATCTTCAGTAGCCTTGTGCCTAAGTTTTCTTATTCCTAACACTGCATAATGGTCTTGATCTTTCCATTCCTTTGGATCCAACGATCTTAAATATTCGAGGTCATCTTCGAATTCATACTGAGACAGATCTTCTTCTTCTTCGTCTGATGATTCTGAAACTATGTATGGTGCAAAGCAGCGATGAAACTGGGCTTTCCAAGCTTGCGCCGTAGAATATAAAACCACTGGTCCTGCTGTGGATGCAGTTACCTTCTCCAATGGATCTGTATAATAACAAATTTTACAATATAATTAATCAAAATTCTATACAGTTAGTAAAGCACATATAACAAGTTTGGTCAATTTCAATTCAACTTATTGAACTAACATTCATTTATTCATTTCAATCACTTTAAACGATAAATCACATAAAAAATCAATTAAACGCATTCCGTTAAAATACTGATTAAACAATAATGCAAATATTACAAGGAAAAAAGGATTTCCTATGTTAAAAAGATTTGTCTAAGTTAAACCTAACCTATAAGGCCGGTGTCCAAGAAAAGATTAGGAAAAATTCGATAACTCACCGAGTTTAGAATTAAATGCATTAGGGTCATCATTTGCTGTTCCATCCGTCATCATTAATTAACTGCAGGATATCACGTAGAAGATAATATTAAAATGACTTCCGAAAAAAAGGATAATGTGAAAGAAATTTTCAGGCTAGGAACATACTCGATAAAACGAGCGGTTGCATTACGATTGTTCGAGATCCAGTGCTACCAATCGTTCTTCAACTTTCGATAAATATCGACAAATATCATTTCGTTATTCGATACAATGATTTCTACTTATAGATTTATTTCATATTATATAAATGTTTCTTTTGTATTGTAACAATATTTCTGATTTTCACGCAGCTACGATATATATAACTGTTAAATTGATTAAATAACTATATGTAGATTTCAACATTTATTGGATTTTGTCGACACATATACAGGGTCTCAGAGTTTTGTACAACAAAATATCTATATATATATTTATATATATATAATATANATAAGGCACAAGTATTTTTATTTTTATTTTATTTTCTGTACATGTAAAAATAATGAAAAGTTTGATCTCTTTTCTTTTTCTACTATTGTGTTTTCATATAATTTATTCAGAATATATAAAGATCTGTTATAGGTATTGGCATATCATTCAATAAGTTCATTCGGACGGACATACACGTAAGTATTAAAATAAAACGCGAATTTGATTATCCGATCAATTCATGTTCTGTTATGCTGGGAAGACAGGAAAATGCTTGGAACATATTTAAAACATGCTTAGACGTTATTACGTCAACGATATTAACGGCAAAGTAAAACACATATAATAATATTTTTAGTTTGATACTAATAAAACTTAACGACGCATACATTTGTGCAAATAATCTAAAATCTATATATGCTAAATGATTATCACGAGGGAATAAGTTAAAAGCACGAACATTCTAACGTCGAATGATTGAACGAGATTAATAATAATAATAATAATAATAATAATAATAATAATAATAATAATAATAATAATAAGGCGCTTCGCATTGGGAATAAAATGAAATTATTTAACAAAGATAATATCAGTTCGACTGGAAGAACACGCGTGAATTTTCACTGATGTCCAGGAGACGATAAACGTCTTTGTGTTTGAAATGGATTCTGCAGTAAACGTGGTGAACACTCGATAACCCGTAACAACAAAGAATCAATGTAATCTTCCAAATCGACCATACGTTTTTTTTTATCTGCTACTTCTGCTTGAAGCTGTAGTGTCAGTTCTATCAAATCCTAGACAAATACGAACAAATTTATTAGAATGTGGTGATAGAAAAATTGTGTAAAATAACACAATCATTAACATTAGATGAAAATATATTTGTACTTCTCTAGATTTTCCATCAAATTGAGAAATAATTTCATGGGTTAGTCGATGTTTCGATAATTGTTCACCCTTAAACGCATCTTCCCCTCCTATTATGATCCTTTCCGAGGAGGAAGGGTGATTATCCTCGTTAATTTCTTTGGTTTTATTCTCTTTTTCCTTCTTCTTATCTTTCTTAGAGATTTTCTCTTCCCTTGGACTCCGCGTAAGGAACTTTTCCTCTCTTTTATCCTTCAATTTATCTTCCTTGGAAAATTTATCTTTGATCAAAGAAGGCTTTTCCTCTTTGTTGTTCTTAAGTTGAATTATTTCACGCGGAGCTGGACTCGGAGGTTCTGGAGTATCTCTAAATCTGGATGTTGGCGATGGTGAGGGTACTGGAGATCGATCCAGTCGCTCGTCCTTTGCCTCATCTATCAAAATCTTTGGATTATTCAGCTTGTTATTTTCCCATCTGTAACGGGTAAAGAAAATAAATGAAGAATTGACGACATTACGAGCGTAGAAGATAAAGTATATGAAAAATGATCTGACCTCTTGGAAGCATTGGGTTGTTTCCCGTATAGTTTCAGACCCCATTCGTCTTTTTGATCGTCGATTTTGGACAGGGACGTGGTAGAGGAACTTGTGGCGAAACGTGGTGGCTTGTTGGGTGCCACGTTAATCGTGATAGGTGCCGTTTGCTGTATCTCATGACCAACATTATTTCGACCAGAGGAACCAGCAGATTCGACCGAGGTCACGCTGTTGCTTTTCTTCGCACCATTTATAGTAGCGACCGGTGCATTCAACGATGAGGCCGAACTCTTGTGGGACAGATCGTCGAACTGAAATAAATTGTACGATAAGCATTAAGGTAAAACATTACAAACCTAGTCGGAATTATTTCATTATAAGCTTACCGTAAATTCGTCCTCGTCCTCGCTGATGACACCAGGATCAGCTTCTCCGGGTTCTTGTCTAGTCCTTCGAAATCCATGATCTTCTTCCCTCTCATCCAAGTTCTCTTTATCCAATCTATTTTTACTCTTTCCTTTAACTCGATTACCTATAGACTTGGCCAACTTTTTCAATCCTTTACGTTTTTCTATGCTACCTATACTCAACAAACTTCCACCGATGGATTGAGCCGCGGTCGACAATTGTCCGAGAGAACTTTTGTGTCTTTCCTTTCTCGTGAGATCGGTTAAACTACCAGCCTTCACTATAAAACCAATCCTGACTTCGAGCTCGCCTCTTTCTTTCGTATTTTCTTTTCCTGGCTTACTGCACAACGTATACCTAAAAAAAAAAAAGGAAAAGAACAATGTATAATGCTTAATTATATACGAAATTTAAGAGACGAGAAAAATAAAAAATTAACTCAACAGATATTTTTGCCCTTTCTATAATATATCAATCTTGTGCATCGCACAGCACATTATGTGCATCACGTATGCATATGCCACGCACGTATTACGTTGGCTTCTGTCCAACTTAACCGTGGTCTCTACTTTACAACTCGTCTCTTAACTTTTATTGTGTGCTCAATTTTAATATTAGATCTAATCTTACATATGTATCTATATGCATGCGTGTGCGCCAAAGTATCCTAGCTCTGAATTGCACCGGCCCGATCTCTTTTTCAAATCGTGAGAAAATAATATATGCAAGTAGTAGTTGGTGAAAGCAAGCGTATCTTCGGAAAAATCAATCCATCTTTTATAGTTTCACTTTATTATACCTACCATCTGTTCTTAGGTCTCTCGTAAACATCGAAACTCGATAAAGGAATGCTAATCGTGCCTAGAAATTCATCAACTCCAAGGAAATTACGGTGCAATGCCGTGAGGACGATTTCCGCGGTGTTTCCGTGTTCTGGTATGGCTAATTCGCATTCCTCGTGCCATTCCACGTCCTTGGAAGCCTTCTCTTTCACCGACGTCTGGTACTTTTCCTTGCCGAGGGCGATCGTCACGAAACAATCGTTGGTCTCTGCGTCAAGATAGGTTTAAACGTTTACGTGTGGGTGGACGGGGAATTGACCGGTTAATTAATGATAACAAGTAGACTCGATACGAAACATACTTTATTCCATTTGTATTTTTTTATTCTACATTAGTTTGTAAAACATAACTCGTGGAACCCCCGATTTATCGCGAAATAGGCACGAATTACGAAGGACCGTGTTACGCGTTTTAAATGAATAATACTTTTACCACTGTTGCAATAATATTTATTTTGAAATAATGAAGAAAACCGAGCTTGTGCTTACCTAAGCTATATTCATAAATGTAAACGACAAATATTTAACCCAAAATATTTTTCATGTTATTAGGTCAGTGTGATGCCGTAATCAAGTTCAAGAAAGATAATTAGTCATCAAAGTGTTAACGCGTAATAATTAATTGTTTAGCAGGAAATTTGATTACGCTGACGTATTATTATTTGTCTGATTATGTCGGTAATATGATCGTAACGTATTAAACAAAGAGGTTCTTTTGAAAATAAACATATTTGTTGTGCTCTTTATATACTCACTGTTTTTTCCTTTGGTCAATAGCCCTTTAGCTTTTTGAACTGAAAACAAAATGAAAAAGTTATTCTTGTTAGTTTTGATCGAATTATTATTTTTGCCTATTATATTATAAACTTTTTACGATCGCATGACTTTCATCGGTTGCATACCAATTCGTTCTATAACTTTCTGAACAGAATCGCGTTCACTCTTATCGGCAAGTTAGAAGAAAAGTTAGCTACGTTTATAGGTATCGGTCGGTTACCGCCCCAATTAAATATACATGTACGCCCTTGTTAATTTATCTAGGTTTGTGGCAGAGAAAAGGCAAATCCGTTAATAAGTTTATGAATAATTTGGACGATTTTCTCGTCGGAATAATAAATTCGATGAAAAAATCCAAAAGTAAAGTCTATTATCTTGTTTCAGGATTATTTCACGATTAAATTTTAAGCCAATGGGTCAAAATCCATAAAGAAACAAAAAAAAAAGAAAAAAGAAAACTTAGCCGTCTCATCGGTCAAATGTCGTTCAGGTTGGAAGCGTGCATTTTTTAACGCTCCGTGCGTCCAGGGACGTAACAATGAAATTCGGTTGTACGAAGATTATTCGAAAACGTTATTATAACTAATTTAATAATGACCATTGGAAATGTGAACGATAGAAACAAAAATGTAATTATTCGTTAATTAATGTTAAAAGCGTGAACGATGAAAATTCGAATAGAAAGTTCTAGACTCTTTTTAACCTATAAATATTTCAATAGGAATTGTTGGGGGGAGGGGAAAAAAAAGAAAGAGGTGTTGCAGTTGAATACGTTACTGATCGAAGGGAGTTAGCGGTCCGTATATACGAGCGAAAAAGGGGAGCAACATCGGGTCGCGTTATGCGAGCTTTCACACGACTATTTTCTATAGAAGGATATTAAGGCATTGAGAAAACGGCGAAACCGTGCGGCCATCTTGGCATGAAGAGATCACCGTATTATATCTATACATATACACGTGCACACCTATATAACGTATATGGCTGCGATAATTGACTATCGTCATATATTCCTCGCGTTAAAGTTCTCGTCTACAGCTGGTAAAAACCTCTCTACAACCTTGTGCATCTCAAGCGTGAAACCGTTAGCTCGAACCTGCCGACTCGTAGCGAACGCAAACTCTCCATACCAAAGCATAAATGATATTATAAACATTTGTTGTTTAGCTATTTTGCGATATTACTTCTCTCGATAATGTTTATTTATTTTTTGTTTTTTTTTTTTTCTATAAATTGCGTACGCGATGTATCCTAAATTATAACGATGTTACAAAGTTTCTATATAGGTATGTATTTTAATCGTATAATATAAACGAGAATGTACAACGATAACACGACGTTAAATATAGTCGCTTATAAGTTTCCAAGGAAAATAATGACGATAATACATTTGTAAGTTTCGTTTGTTCGTCCTTCGAATGAGATTAGGCGCGCATTTTCGAATGGCAAGCGCGGGAGAAGGTGCGCCGTCGTCGTACCCTTTTATTTATTTACTTTATCAGAAAAAAAAAGAAAAAAAAAAAACAATAGAAAAAGAAAAGTTATAAGAAGAATAATATAATAGTCGAAAGAAGAGTTAATGCAAAGAGAGAAGAATGGCTTTCTAAATGCATTCCACGAGCAACGTGGTCGTACTTAAGAGGTTTCGTTCGCCTACATTTCGACGAGGACAAACACGTAACTACTTGGCTTATGCGTTCTATTAATCGACTTTATAGTATATCGTTCGTAAACCATTTTTCATTTAACATGACTTCATTATTCTTATTATTTATTTATAAATGTATCTATCTCTCTTGTACGGAGCCACCTGTCGAGTCAAAAGCACTTTATTCAAACTTTATGACGTATCATCATTCATGACTCTTACCTGTCACCTGTACGTGAGTAGGACTCCACATTTTTGGTCTGATCACTGTCGATCTGTCGCGTTGAATACGTTCAGTTTCTAACTCGTTTATTACTTTATTTTTTATCTTTGTTTATTTAATCGAAAAATACGCACAACGCCGCGCGTTCCCATTCTACGAGACGCGTTGCTCCTTTTGAAAACCCATGCGAGAATGGGTTTGCGGTAAAAACACGTTTAAAAAATGTAAAAGACGCTGACCGTACCGTACGGTGGCATCGACTACGACCAACTACGATTATATTCTCTTACGATGCCTTCCAACAACCGCTACGTCTACTTTCTCTCTTTTTCTCTCTCTCTCTCTCTCTCTCTCTCTCTGCCATTTATTATTTCTCTTTTTTCCTCTCTCTTTTTCTGTCTTTCTCTGTCTTTCTCGGATCTGTCAGCATGCTAGCTCACGCGCATCCCCTTTGCGCAGAACGCACTTGCTGCCATCCCAGGAACGGCACGAGATAAATCCGGGCCCGGTCTCGTTTATGAATTCGAACCTATCTATCGTAAGATTGGATAAGCAGTCGAGTAACAGTGTGTTCTTTTTCTTTGTCGTTACAATGAAAGGGGCATATTTTCTTATGCATAGAATGTTTGTATATGTTAAATAAATAAACAGTCTGCTAGTTAATTGTTACTTGGATAAAATACGAATGCATTTATGATCTTGTCAATGGAATAACTCGTGAAAAATTCTTATATGAATTTGTTCTTTCTTCAAAGAGATGATTAACTAAGAATACTCATTAATTTCTTAATGCTTATTTACATAGGAGATGGCCTTCCACAGTTCTATTGTTAGAAAGTAAACGTTTTTTTATTAAATGACTAAGAATTATGAAAAAAAAAAACAAGAAAAAAATGATGCCAGAAGCAATCAACGTTTGTATTCTTTTATTATTAGTAACATCGATACTCGCATCAAAATATCGAAAAGAAACGGAAACAACAAGTTTACGTAGTTATAATTGCCGTGCATGGTTATCCTTGTTATTTCGTAATATCGTCTCGTGACTGGTACACGAGTCGCCGTTTTATTCACGAACCATTTAAATTATCTAAAATGACTAATATGAAATATTAGTTAAACGTTGCAAAAAGAAAAAAAAGAATGAATAAAGAAGGTAATTCGATTGCAATTTATTTACGTAAAATATTCCCCGTTGGCTTTAAGTAGAATTTTTTACAAGAATACTCTTTTATCGATATCTCGAAAATATTTTTCTTCCATTAATAAGCGTCATCTGTGTGGAAACTATAATCGAGCGATTCGTCATAATTCTCTTATCATTTCCCTCGTCGTATTTTTAAAAAATACACGCACACGTTAACACAGCATCATCATAGCTTTGTTCGTCGTGTTCTTACGTCACATTCCCACACTCACGCGTTGCATCCATTATTATCGCGGTGTGTTGTGTTAAAGTAAATCCACGCCTTACTATTTAATTAATTAGACTTAAACGCACCTCTAATGGGGTTATCGCTTGTCTATCGTATTCGTACAATCCGCGTATTCGCGTTTCAAAGTTTAATCATTTTTTTCTTCAAGGTTAATAGTTAGTTCTCTGTTTCGTAATTATTTTCATTTATGAAGCTTATCGCTGTATCGATAAAGTAGCGTAAATGTAAATGTAATTGTTACCGATAATTAAAGTTTCCCGTATGTTTGATCGTTCTTTTGTAGAATATTATACATGCACACGAGTGCGTGGAAAAATGTCGAAAGTCACGTCTCTTTGGCTGCATTACCAAGAATTGTAGGGAATATATGTATGTATGTTTGTATGTATGTATGCATGCGTGAAGAATGCAAAATTTTAGGAACGATGTGGTTAGCGGAATAGTTAAGAATACCTAGTTTCTTGCATTATTTCTCCACCGATGAAATTTTCTTTTCTCTGGGATCGCACGTTTCCGACGAAACTCAAGCATACCTACATTTTTCTTCTTTTATTTCCACGAGAGGATGTCGGTGGTAGGTGCGAGCGAAGATTAAAGGTCGCTTCTCTTACCTGAATGTCGTCATTCATAGGCCCGGAAAGGTATGGCAACACGTTGCGTGATTCCGTGTATACACGTGTTAACAAAGCCATGATTCATCGAACTCTACAGAGAGTGGCAACAGGTGTTCGTGTTCCTTTTTCAATTTCTTTAGTATAAATAATATGCCTAAATAATATAGCATCGAATCTTCAAAGAAATGCAATGTGTATTAATGTATGTAAACTGATTAAGTAGGTTCATTAGACGTGAATAATTTTCATAGTAATTTACGCGAACGAGACAGGTTTAACGAGCGCCATAATTTATCATTAGGCTCATTGTCAGATAAAAGAATTTTAATTTCTTGGTCATATTTATTTGAGCACGTTCGATAAGTAGCGTTTAAGCCGTGTTTCCATTATTCATCCAGGTAGGAAGAAATTCGTAAAGCTTTGTACATTTGTCGCGCGGTGGCAGCACATTCGGAGAAAGACGAAGACGCCATCTTTGTCGAAATTCAATTTTTCCTTCTTCCTTTATCTCGTTCTAGTCGTTAATCCGATTAAATATTTATTTTCCTTAACGAACATAGAAATTTTTAGAACAATATATGACAATGAATTTGTATTGGTTTGAAAAAAATAATAATAAGTAGGAAAACATTAGATATTTAGTTGATTGCGTTGCATCGTTGCATTGCGCGACGAACATTCATGCTTTTCCGTCTTTCTTTTTCTCGATAGTAGTCCCCTCTCCTCGAATTAAGAGGCCCCAGTAGAGTGGCAGGATGATGGGATTGGTCCCTGCAATCCCGCGTACGCGCGAATCGACCTTTAGTTCGTTCGCCGCCGATCTCGTGTACGGTCGTCGTACCTGTTGGTATTCGATCGAGTGCTCGCGCCGGTTAACAAGTACTCGGGATTCCAGTCGTATTCGGAGACACATTGTCACGCGGTTTTTCTACGTCCCACCGCATAGAAGTGGTGGTGGAGGAGTCTAAAAGGAAAATAGGAAAATCTAGAAGGAAGGAAACACGTAATTGGAAAATAAAATAATAATTCGCGAGTAGATCGCGATTGTCCGGTTCATCCCTTTCCGCGGCGTCGAATTAGGAAAGTCAAAGTGCAAATCTGGAGATGTCGTCCCTGAAGGGCGATAAGACACCGTACGCTCGTCTTTGCCACATCGTCAAATGGGATGACTTTGACGGTTACGGGTTCAATCTGCACGCAGAGAAAGGGAAAAATGGGCAGTATATCGGTAAGGTGGACGAGGGTTCCCCGAGCCAAGCTGCTGGCTTGAAGCAAGGGGATCGGATCATCGAGGTAAACGAGATTAACATAGCCAACGAGACTCACAAGCAGGTGGTCGAACGCATAAAGGCGTTCCCCAACGAGACCAAGCTCCTGGTGCTCGATCAAGAGGCTGACGAGTACTTCAGGGCTAACAACGTCATCGTCAAGGGCACCATGGCGAACGTCAAGGTGATCAAGACGCCGGAGAAGAATCCCAACAGCGTGGATCACGAGGAGGGATCGGATCACGGTATCTCCGCCACCGAGGTGAGTCTTTCTCCTCCTCTCCCCTTCTCTTTCTCACTTCTTTCGTGGTTGAACCTAACCGTCATTACAAATTGCTCGCACTAATTATTTATTAATTATGGGATAAAGGAACGTCGTTTATAGGAGGAGGCGATCGTAGGCGATGCAACGCGCAACGTGGGAGAACTTCTTTTTTTTTTTTTTTCTCTCCTTTTTATAACTTATCTCCTCCATCGCGATTCACGTGAGTAGTTCGCTCGATGCATCATCGGAAAAAAGAAATAAAAACGTCTACTATCTGACCTTCTATCGAGACGTACGAGAATTCTAAAGATCGTAGAGTCTTTCGTAGTGACACTTTATATACTTATGAAAAGAATATTTCCAAAGAATTTTAGAATCATTCATTATTTTCCTCTCTTTTTCCGGTTTAGCCGATTCGACGAATTTCGCGGTTACGATGCACGTGAACAACGATTGCTTATTTTCGCATGAAATTGTAGGTACATATATATATATTACGCGTTACGTTGCCGTTTCTTCTCTCCCTTCCCCACCTAACGATTTTCAACGAGTAGATTTCACTTAAGAAACATAGTACAAGTGTTTCCAACATCTGTGTTTATTTCGGCTCGGAGATAACAACTCGAGGAATAATCGAGGTTCGTTTTCTTCGTTTGACAAAAAGCCTAAAATAATGGAAAACTAGTAATATTCACGTAGTAAAAACGGTTTGCCGATCATAAATAAGAATATCAATAAATTAAGATTGTGTTAATGCAATTAAATATTTTTACAATGGGGAATCACGTTATGGAAATAAAAATATACAATGTAAAATGGAAGATTTGAAGATTCGATTGGCTCCCCCTATTTCCGTTCTTTTTTTTTTTTCTTTTTGGAATTTGGAACTTCAGATCGAAAAGCAGGAACGTGTCGTGTAATAAAAAAAATAGGGAGTCAAGATGCAACGAGGACAAATTTGACGTGATAATCATCGTTAGAGACAGTTTATCGTTTATTGACACTTATTGTTAGTAGTCCAAGTATGGAACTCGTTGCAGCTTATAGATTAGAATGTATCACGAGTTACACGACGTTCTTGATTAAAATTTTTATGAAGTTTTGCTATCTAATATATATGAAAATACGTCTTAAATTATACGTGGGATAGTTTAAAATTGCATAAAAATTGTATTATACAATTTTATTTAGATTTTTAAATGGGTATATACGTACCTACTTGACTCTATCGTTTCTTGGTGCACGATGAAAAATATTTCGTTTTGTTGTTCTATCTCGCGTGACAAGGCAACCGAACTTTACGATAATTCACGTCCTCTCTCTGTTATCATCATTTTTATCGCGTATTAAATAACCAACAACGGAACTTTCTCCGATTTAGTTCGCCCACGCAAATTTCATTATCGTCCATCCTCCTTTTGTCTGTTTCCTCCGAGTTATATACCAACAGAGAGAACGAGAAAAAAATCTTTATTTTATCTAATCTTTTTTATCAACGTACTTTATCAACGAATCGATCTACTATTAACGAGAGAAGATAATCTATAAAATTGTAGCGCAATGAATTAACACGTTCGTCGTCTCGTCATTCACGTTTGATTGAGTGATGCCTAATAATCTGAAGAAAGTTCTAACTTTAAAAATGTTGCTCGACAAACGCGTTATATGCATTGCTTTAGATTTCATTGAAAACAATTTTATTCTCTCCTTTGTATCATACCTACAAATTTGTCGTATATGACGAATATAGAATAAAATAAATGACTCATTTATATACTTCCGTGTTAAAAATAAATCTATCATTTCGCGTTTGATTTTTATTCGTTGTTTCTTCCGTAGAAATAAATAAAGCCTTTCTTCAATTTCTAACTTCAGTTTTTTATTGGAAAAAAAAAAAAAAAAAAAAAACACGTCGATCTTGGCGCTTAGTATTATTTCTTTTTTTTCTTTTTTGTTCGCATCTTCAATACGATTTATCGCGCGAAATCGCGACTGTGATTCTCAGCCGACGTAACAATGCAACCCACCTACATACATACATAAATACATAAATAGGTAGGTGGGTACATGGGGGTACATAGATGGACAGATAGATAGGTATACGTAACGAGAAAAAAAAAAGTATTTATCCGAGAGGACGATTAACGAGTTATACTAATTACCGGATGTTCCTTTTTTAGAAGGGATCGATTAATTTCCTTGGGATTTAGGATCGATCGATCGGTTGGTGGTTAACCGAGATATGTTCGTACAAAGGACGAGTCTCTCTTCTCCTTCGCGTTTCTAATTACGTAACTTTGTGCTAGTTGGCTAATACACTGTCCTGAATTCTTCCTTCAGTTCGAACGAATTTGTATTACGCGTTATTTCGAAGCACAAGTATTCGAGTAATCAGACATATATACATATATATATTTAAATGCATATATTGGTGTATGTTATGCATTGGTATTTGTACGAACGCGTTTATATTAACGCGAGAAAACGAAAGGGAAACGATAACACTTTCTTTCTGACGTTAGGCGAATTAATTGATCATATATTGCGTTACGTCGACGAGTCGTTAGAAATTCTTGTTTCTTTATTTCTCCTTTCTTTTTTTAATCTTATATTAGCTAGTAGAATCGAGAAAATATTTGTTACGGTTATGTTAGAAAAAGGAATTGACTTATATAGTACACATGCTACGCATCATCTTTCATTTTTCGATTCGATAATCTCATGGTCCTCATCCGGTCTTTGACGAGGTTACGTAAATTCCGAGTTTGTGGTAATGTTCAAACTCTCCTCTTATAAATATCTTAACGAGTAATTCGATTTGATATGATTGCATCTACTTGACAAAGTGCCATTGCGTGACCTATTTCTTCCGAAAAATACTTAATCATATTGTATCATACGTTTATCGGTTCGTATTTTAACGATAATCGGTTCTCAAAATCGTAGCTCGAAATTTTGGACCGTTGTGGGTCTATTAAAATACGAAAAAAAAAAGAAAAAAACAAGCGTGCCCGCATTTTCTCGACCTCGAATAACCATATACGCATTCGGATAACGGGTATTCGAAAAAGAGAGAGAGAGAGAGAGAATAAAAAAAAAAAAAAAGGAAACCAAGCGATTGCAGCAGCTTCTCCTTTCTCTCCCCGAAGAATAATTAAATGACTTTACCTACCTACCTACCTATCTACCTGCGTGCGTACCTGCGTGCATGCGTGCACCAGCAAACAGACGACAAATGACGCGCAGGATAATTTCAAAGCAGGAACGTATCGTTCGATCTACTCGTTCGCGTTTTATTTTCTGGGTCGTGAAATTCCTCTCTCGTTTAGCAGGTGAAACGTCTTTGCTGTTTATATACGTCAAATATTTCAAGGTAGTACTTTTGAGAGAGAGAGAGAGAGAAAGACAGCTACATTGTAAATGATTCCGCAAATACGCCTCGGTGCTTATCGGCACCGATCAGTTTGCAGTTATGTACATCGATTTGCCTTTTTTTTCTTCTTTTTTTTCTCTTCAAATTTGTATGGTTTTTTTCCAACTCTTTTATCTAGCGAATCGGGAGAATAAATCTTTGCGTATATTGAGGAAATGGCAATGCGATTTAACGAGCCGTTTAAATACGTAACAACGCGTATGTATAATCGAATATCAAATACCGCTTCATTTCAGTGCACACGTTTATCTAATTCCATTCGTATATTTCGGCCAAACAATTCGTACAAATTAGAAGAATATCGCCAAACAAGTAGTTAGATAGATTAGACGATGAGAGATTTTGAAAATCATGGGGTCTCGTGTTGGTCAATGCGATACACCCGACTAACATTATTTTGAAGGGATTTAAACGGTTTGCGCTTGAGTCAAACCGGTTCTCCATCGCGCATAGGTCTAACCAATGGAATTCCTTTAAGTACCGTTCAGAATTGCATCAGGCTCCAAGGTCATTTCGATATCTTACGAAAATCTATAGAATAAGAATAAGAAGAAGAAGAGTTTACCCGTAGGGCTAAGGTATCGCGAAAAAATGATGGAGAAAGTATTAATTTCGAAGATAACTATTTAAATGGGGGGAGGGGGGAAAAAAGAAAAAACCAAACGCGTTCTATTCTAATCGACATGGTTACCCCGTAACGGGCCGATCAACGGTGGTGGTGGTGGTGGGTATCACGGTCGTAGGAGGAGGAGATGGTGGTGGAGGAGGAGAGAAAGAAAGAAACGTCCGGTTAGGAATATTTGGAGGAAAAGTGGCACGCGATGAAGGCGCGCGTTTGACCTTGGTACGTGATAGGAATGATGATCGATAGATAATTCAGCGGTATCGAGGGATATTGGTCGGTCAGGACGTAAACGTGAGAGGTTTTTTCGATTGGTTACGTTTAATCATTGAAAAGGATTCATTCGTGGCTCTGATTGTTTTAACATTGTCTCATAATTGCAAATAATTTGCTTTCTTTCCTTTATTTGTTATTTTCAGAATCCACGAAAGTCGAGTGGTTCTAACGATACGGAGGATCAACACAGCGATAGCACGATAACAATGGCAAATTCTTCGACGATAGTTGCGAATACAACGATGACGACGACAACTTCATCGACGACGATGTCATCGGTTTCGAGTGAAAACGAAGATACGACGAGTATAGGCCGAGAAAATGGCAGCGCCAATTCGAGAAACAGCGAAACAACAGAGGCCCACGTTCACGAAACTGGTAACGGAACTGGGGGTACTAGTCCCAGTCCTGGCACTGGCCCTGGGACTGGAACTGGCACCGGTATCGGTCCCAGCACTGGCAACGGCACCGTTGCCGGAAACACCGAACCCAAGCAAGGTTTGAACCTTCTGCAAATGAGCGCGAAAGAACTCAGGGCTCAATTGGCAGCACGGAAGAAATATGATCCTAAAAAGGAATCTATCGGATTTAAGGACAAATTCGATATAGTTCAGAAACTTTAATAATATAAGTCGTCGTTGAATAATGAAAATGAGAACAGACAAACAATTACAGTTGATAAGAGAAAAAGAAACGAGAATGGATACGGTCTCTCGCTTTAACTAAAAACCTACGGTGGTGCTTCTTTCACGATATTTTCCCTTTTCTATCATTTCCTTTTCTTTCTTATTTCTCCACCTTTCTCCTTCGATATATATATATATAATTTCCCGTTATTATTATTATTATTATTAATATTATTATTATTATTATTATTATTATTATTATTATTATTAATATTAATATTAAAGGAACGAGTCGGAGTCCCTAGTCTGTTGCCCAAATTGTATCTAGCGGTAGGAAGACGCGTTATCGAAAAAGAAACGTACGCGTACACGTGCGATTACGTTCATCCGGTAGAATTGCGATAAATTCGCGACGCGTTACGTTCGTTGCCTTTGTTAATTATTATTTTAAGCGGGAAGATCGCGTGTGATGGATGTACGCGGTACCGATCGTTTATATATATATGTATACATATATATACATTATATATATATGCTAAAAGAGAGAAAGGATAAAGAGTGTCGTGTTCTCGTTCATCATAGAGTGATCCTCGCCAATGCGAATACGAAAATCTCGCGAATCCCAATGAGATAAGGAAAAACGTTCGGTTGGTAACGCGAATCCGGATATACGTAATTACTAAGAGACACACAGGGATAATTACGGCGAATTCGTTCCCCGAAGATGTTACCGCGATTACCTGCCATTTTCGCGGTTAAATACTTCCGGATGTTTTTTCGTTCGTTAAGCAACCTCCCTCCCTTCCACCTTTTTAATTTCCTTTTCTCGTTAATCGTCACATTTTCTTCTTCTTCTTCTTCTACTTCTTCTTTTTCTTTTGTTCAATTGCATATTAAATACTTTATCGTTTCCGAATTCGAAAAATATTCAAGAACTCGTTTACTATTCGCTTGGAATCGTTATTTGCGTTGCTCGGTAGTGCTGCCTTTTTAATAACTCTTTCTATGTAAGATCCAAGGACGTCCGAGAGAATGGTCAGAGATGCCACCGATTCCTACGTGCACCTCGGAGATCGAATAAAATGATTTCATCGTCATCGTAGAAGTTGACACCAATCTTAGAACGATAAACGTAACACATCGTGATGCATTTCTTATTTTTTTTTTTTTAAATTAATATCTTCTCCGTTCAAAATTTCTCTCTATCCATAATAAATACCCATTATCATCCTTTCTTTTCGTCCCATTGCACCGAATTGGTTTTTTTTTATTTGATGGTCACGAAGAACGAAAAAAAAGCCTTGTACAACGTGTTTTTGTTTTTCTTGCGAGGAAACTACGTCTCTCGGATTGTAGAGTTAGAGGATGGAATTTTTCATCGATAAGAAGTAACGATAACGTCAATGCATTATTACGGCTATCAAGATAGGAGGAAGTCGTGGAAATGTAATAGAAAATGTAATAATATGTAGTATACTAAATGTGTAACTGGTATATATATATATATATATCCTACGTGTTGCCGATAAAGTAACAAATGCGACTATAAAAAAATGTTATTGCAATAAAATGAGGGATAATCGCGTTCAAACTTTGTTAAGAACGCGATCATGTAATACTGATATTGACAATATTAGATTTTTCACCATAGTCAAGAAACCCTGACAGTGGAATCGACACACAGTAGCAGAAACATGTATAAAAGTTAGCTTTAAATCTGACTGTACGTTTCTAAATATTACGTCGACGTGTTGTGCAACATTCAATTATCGTTATCGTCGTTGGTACGCGCTCACCTGTATCTAACTCAAGTCGGAGACACGATTCCTATTCGTGCTATTCGTACTAACGACTTTTGGTTTCCCTTTCTTTGAAACAATCAAAATGGCATCGCGATTTCTAAACTTTATCATTCTATACATATTGAATAATTGTTAAAACAAATGTTATTCTTTTTTATCAATTGTAAACGTCAATATTATATTCACTTATACACTTATTCTAATCGTAGGTATTCGTTTAAGCGAAGAGATTGTATATTTGCGTTAGCAATAGTAATTGATGACACATTAAATCGTTACTCTAAATACCGTTAAACGATATCTTCGACATTAATATACGTTTGCGCAAAGGATCATCTTCTCTTCGAGGATTACCACCACACCATAACAACCACCACCACCACCATCACGAGACTCGCGAATGGAATTTTAATGTGCTAGGTCGTTGTTTGCATAAATCATTGCTGGTACCAAGAGAAATTATTATATGAGACGATAAACTTGTTTTACGTTGCGAGAATGGATGCACGATGAAAAGCGTATAAGTATGGTTCATACTTTAGTTAATACTCTATAAACATTGTATATCTTTCTATAATTTTCTATAATCCTTTTTTTTTTTTTTAAAGAGGATATTTTATTTCTTATTATCACCGAAATTTTTTATAAATCGCATTGTTTCATTTTTGTAGAGTATGTATAAAGTTGAATAAGTTAAACAACAGGTTCCTAAAATGATTATTGTACTTAGGCCAAAAATTATTCAGAATGATTTAAATGTTCAAGTTGCCTACCTTATCGACGATCATAAAGCTAACGAGACAACCGCAACAATTTTTTTCGAAAATGGAGATTTATGTAAAGGAAGTTATGTTTTTCAAGACATGTAAAAAGAAGAAAAAAAAAAAGAACGCGTGTATCACCTTGTGGTGATTTTTTTATCTCGGCTAATCGTAATGTCATACTTTTATTAATCTTGTAACAACATTTGTTCGCACGTTAATCGAATATTTGCAATACGTTTGATCGTTGTAAAATGTAAATATTAGAAGTTGTGTGCCAGTTTCGGTGCAACGATCGCGATAAAAAGGTTGGACACGACGAGAATCAAATCGACCATTTATATTATATCAACTTTACTTCAATCCTAGCCCTTTTTATTTTCTCTGTTATTAATGACGGTCAATAGTTACTAGCTATATTTTTCATAAAGGATTCTAACGAATCGGATAAATCCGAAAAACGATGTACATTTAAGTTTGGCAAAATACTTTATCTTTTTTTCGATCGATTGTTTGCACCGAATATATATATATAAAAAAAGAAAAAAAAATAAGTGTATATAATTATATCACAGCACATATACATATGCACGTTTTTCTTTTCCATTTTTTGTTTCTTTCAATAATGGAACGTGCACGTTGTTACGGTTATAATTACGAGCACATATAAAGATGTTAATTACTTTATGTTAGTTTAAGTTTACCAATTTTTTTTTGTTCGACAATAAGATTTACAATTAGTTATTGTGTTACTCATTGTGTAGTGCGTGTTCGCGCGTACCTGTCTCTATTTACATAAAAACGTCGATGTACGTGTTAATACAAACCTTTTACATTATTTTATCAACCCTCACTTATTCTTATCCAATTTATTATGGGGGTTGGGAGGAAGGGGTTGCATTGTACTTCTCGTGCCCCTAAATTAATGCAAAATGTGTAACGTTGATCCGTCGGTACGGAGACTATCCGACGATTATCGATATAAATACATCGATAAGATTCGAGTTTTCAAAGTTTCAAGGTGGCGCCAGTTTTCGGTTTTTCGATCGAATTAACTGGCGTACTTTCGTAGCGGACTTTTTCAACGATTCCGATCACATCAACATTCTCGTTGAAAAACTCTAAGAAGAAAGATCTCCCCATGTATTCTCGTATTTTGGACGACACACTGTAACAACATTTAAGTATAACGCTAGTATATTATCTTTCAAGTATATCACTTGTCAAATTATTTAGATTCGTTGGAAAAAAAAAAAAACAATGGACCATTTGTTTTCGCATTTTAATCGACAACAAAATCATAAAAGAGTAATTTAACGCTGTACTTTTCAAAATTTATTCATCCAATATCGAAACCAAAACATTTATTTTACACTTTTAATTATCATAAGTCACACGTGTCATTTGTTTAAATTAAAAACTTGGTGTTGAGTCTGTTTAATATATATAATATAGTATAATAAGTAATATAAAATGTAAACATTCGTCAGATTTTTTTATATTTTGCCAATGTAATCTCATTACGTAATTATCACCATTTTTTTCCTATATCATTCGAAAAAAAACACTTAGGACAAAATATAATAAATAAAAAAGACAAAAATTAAGGGAAAAATAGAAAAAAAGAAGAAATCCCTTATTGTCAGAAAAAAAAAAAAAAAAAAAAAAAAAAAAANAAAAAAAAAAAAAAAAAGAAAAAGAAATATTTACATATATAAATTCTAGGAGTATCGTAAAGCTTATGGAACAAAGAGAGTTCAATGCAACGACAAGACAATGAACAGCATTGGTTTTATGGAATTTACAAATCGTTTGTTATTGCCGGAAGTGATCGATAAAATATTACTTTTCCGTTCTATTATAACGTAATGAAATAGAAAAAAGATGGTTGCAGGTGAGTGAAAAAGAGATAGTCGATGTTAAGAGTTAAACAGTGGGAGAAAGAGAGAGAGAGAGAGAGCAAGGCGGACATATATGGTCGCGGGGTCCGAAAAGCTCTCAGGTTACGCTGTCGGCGCTAACGGTTTTCATGATCTTTTCTCTCTCTCACTCTCTCTCTCAATCTCTCTCTCTCTCTCAATCTCTTTCTATTTCCTTCGACGCATACAGATATATATATATATATATATATTTTTCTTTCTCTCCATCGTATTCCGTTTCGTTCTCGCACTCATTGGCGGTTGTATTTCTTTCTCTCTCAGCTTATCCGTCGTTTCACTCGAGCAACGACCAAAAATATCGACGGCCAAGTAGCAGAGAATCAGACGAAGATAGAGATAGAGAGAGAGATTGAGGGTGTGTAAGAGGAAGGGTGGGGAAAAGAGGATACTCGTGTTGGAAGGGCACTCTCGTTGCACGACGCGCCTGTGCGTACGAGTTAGAATGAGAGAGAAATAGTTTGTGATACATAGAAAAGCAGGCGGCGGGGTTTTCGTTATTTCGAGATTATTGAGGATTGCCTGCTTGCTTGCTTGCTTGCTTGCTTGCTTGCCTGTTTTCTGGAAT